GGTAAGTTTAACCCCTTTCCTCGCCATCCAGCCCAGCGGGAGGGGGACCCTGAGGGTGGGGGCACCCTCAGGGCACTATAGTGCCAGGAAAACGAGTAGGTTTTCCTGGCACTATAGTGGTCCTTTAAGTCTCTACTTTGTCTCAGTATTTTTCTTCCACTTGACACTGCTTGATACTAGTCTAAGCTACCGACGTCAGGCCATTAAATTTCCTCTAGTGACGGCTGCATGGAAATGATCTCTTTCTATGGTGAAGGGGGGTGAAACAAGGTTAAATTATAACAAATCAATTTCTATTAAAATGTGCAGTTTTTGGAAATTAAAAAAAAGAGGACACGCTGTTCAAACATGAAGCACTTCAGCAATCTGATATTTCACAATGCACGACATGCATGTGACTACATTATGTGTTTACCAAAGAAAAACAAGTTACCTGCGCTCTCTCCTTAATCCCTATGTATTTTTAAACAAATGGAGGTTTTTTTAGTTACCTCCAATGGCCATGAGAGGATAAGCCCACCTGCCAACGTCAACGCAGACCCCCCAAGGTGGGTCATAACTCTAACCATTCACCTTGCTTCTGGCAAAAATCTCTAATGAGACAGAAAGGTGTATTTTTTTATATACACCCCTATATATTATTAACCCTTAATAGGGCACACATGGGATGGGCGGCTGCATTGTAACAAGGCTGAGTGATACAAAAAATGGATACAAATGCAGAAGGATAAGTCCTGCACTCACTCCCATCACTTATCACTTACATTATATTTTGATACAAAAAATGGATACAAATGCAGAAGGATAAGTCCTGCACTCACTCCCATCACTTATCACTTACATTATGTGTTTGCCTAAAAGGCAAGTTAGTTAGGACACAAATGGCAAATAGACACTTCTGACACTCATAGAATGTCATGCTGATAGCACATATGCACAAAAAAAAGGCAGTGTGTATGTAACCAGTAGTCCAGCTGACCAGTCCCCTAAGGAGCCCCCCTCCAAGGTCTCAATTTGTAGTTGGAGTACAGGGTCCCATGTTTGGTACTATTTAGCAGAATTAGGGATAGTATGGAATTATATAACTGTGTAGAACTACAGATCAGTGTAGAACTATGTCTTGGCTGGGACAATATATATAGCTATATACATACAGCTTTGGTGATTTATGCAAAGAAGCTAAAGTGAGTCATGGGTCACCTTTAACCAAAATCAAAAGTAATCATGTATTTGCATTGTTCCTTTAATTTCATATTCTCAGCATTTTTGGATACACAGGCTATAGATTGTGCAACTATGACTCAACGAGACTGTGATCACTACATCTCAGGGCACCTAAATCACCTTTCACTCCAATAATTGCTACACCTTCCAACATTTCAAATTGACAAAGGTGCATTTTAAATGACAACTGTCACCTCAAAACTATCTTTTAGTATAACAAGCCTTTCATCAAGTTTTGAAAATAAGATATACAGTCATGGGGAAGAAATTCTATGGTTTTACATTTCAGAACATTAAAATTAGGTGAATACAACTTCAGTTAAACAACACATGACATCTTACACCGTGTCATGATTTATTTAACAAAAATAAAGCCAACATGGAGTAACCATGTGTGAAAACTGTACCTTATGATTCAATAGCTTGTAGCTTTAGTAGCAATAATTTGAAGTAATCATTTTCTGTATGACTTTAATTTTAAGACCTCCTAAGGAACAGGTGATTGTCATTATATCCTGATATGTAAAAGCATAGCATTCAAAGAGGGGGTAGTTTATTTTCCCCATGACAGTATATATATATTCTTTCAAAACATGATTATAATAAAAAAAATAGTTTTAAGGTGTCTTTTGATTTTAGGGGTGCACTGAGTGGGGACAGGGATGTGCTGAGGAATTGTAGGTGGCTTATATAATAATAAAGATAATTTGCCATTTTTATAGCGCTTTTCTCCCTGTGAAACTCAAAGCACTTTACAAATATACAGACATAAAAGTTAGGAGTTTCTGGTGTCAGATGAGTGGACTGAATGCCTGATGGAAGAGGTGGGTCTTTAGCTTTTATTTTTTAAAGTCTGTAAGGACAGTGCCTCTCTGTCTAAACATGGAAAAGCGTTCAGAAGGTAGGGGCAGCGTGGCTGAACACCCTGGAACCTGAGACTTACTAATAACAATTTATAGAACAAAAATTGAATTTAGAACAAATTATCTTATTTACACAGATTGATTTATAAACACATTTGTTGTAGTTTAAAGACAAATTAATATTATTATATAGCGGTAACAAATTCCGCAGCGCTTTACAATGGGTGGACTGACAAACATGTAATCGTAACCAGACAAGTTGGACGCACAGGAACAGAGGTGTTGAGGGCCCTGCTCAATGAGCTTACATGCTAGAGGGAGTGGGGTAAAGTGACACAAAAGGTAAGGATAGATATCCGGGAAGTAGATTGGTAGAATAGTATTCACTGAAGACTTAGTGTGTTTTATTTTGTTTAAATGACAGTTGCAGGAGAGGAATTAGTTGGAAGCCATTAACAGTTTAGTATTATTGCTGTGGAGCTCTGTTATACACTCAGATACATTACTGGGAGTATTATTGATGTGGAGCTCTGTTATACACTCAGACACATTACTGGGAGTATTATTGCTGTGGAGCTCTGTTATACACCCAGACACATTACTGGGAGTATTATTGCTGTGGAGCTCTGTTATACACTCAGACACATTACTGGGAGTATTATTGCTGTGGAGCTCTGTTATACACTCAGACACATTACTGGGAGTATTATTGCTGTGGAGCTCTGTTATACACTCAGACACATCAACAATATGGAGCTCCTAGAAAAGAGGTACATTGGGATAGAAAACCAGGACAGAGGGATTTAGGCCCACAATAGGGACTGTCCTTTCTAAATAGGGACACTTGGGGGGTTTCTCCAGGCTTTGGCACCTATTGCTTAAAAGGGATTCTATAGTGCCAGGAATACAAATCCGTTTTCCTGGCATTATAGGTTCCTAAGGTGCCCCACTGCCTCCCGCGGCGCTGAAGGTTTAAACCAGCACAGATATCCCTCGGCACTGGGTCAGGCCCCGCCCACGCTCCTCCCCCGCCGTCAGCCGTGGGGGAGACCTAATGCGCATGCGCAGCCTTGAGACCTCTCCATAGGAAAGCTTTGAGCTTTGTATCAATGCTTTCCTATGAGGAAGATCTGACGCTGGAGGTTCTCGTGCAGAGCGAGGGACGTCGATTCTCTCAGCCACTAGAGGGCAGACTGAGAGCTGCAATGGGCTGTTTCTCAGAAACGGCAATGGTTTACATTGCAGCACTAAGTGTTAAAGGGACACAGCACCCAGAATACGTCAATGAGCTGACATGGTCTGAGTGCCTGCAGTGTCCCTTTAATAAACTAAATTTCCCATGATGCTCTGCCAGTGCTATCCAAAACAGGAAGCTAGAAATGGCAGGTCTGCCTCCGTCCAATCACAGGCCCCCACCGAATCACGTGGTCTCTGCTCCACTACTGATGATGATGGCACGCCACAGAGCAAAGATCTCCAATTACGTCACCCGGAAGTGCCAGCGAGTAACGTGGCGCCTGCAAGCCTGCTGCAACCAAACCGCCGCCCAATACGGGGAAGCCACGCCCACGCCTGGTACGTCATCGCTGGGCGGCCGCAGGGAGGCCAGGATTGGTGCACTGATAGTCCAATAGCGCTGCGCCTTGTGGGCGGGGACCTGCTGCTGTAGCGTTTTCATGGCCGAGTCATACCGCCATATTGGTTGTGGCACCCAGTGTGAATTAGAAATATAAAGCTGAATGATTTTCATTGAAAGCTGTCTGTGTCAGTCAGGGAATTAATGTTTATTATGTGAATTACTGGGGGGATCATGGCCAGCTTGTAAACAGACCTGAATAGATTAGTAGGATAGAGTTAATGCCCCCCCATTATTAATAATAATATTATTATTATTATTATTATATGAAATAATGAACCAGCTTTCTATTATCTCCCATTTCATCTCACTGTGGGCTCTTTGCTGAATGATCCAACTGGAGTGTGCCAGGAGCTGTAAACACACTTTAATTAATGGCCATTTTATGTTTGTCATATGTAAAACAAATCTATATCACATATTATGAGATGACTCTGAGCTGGCCTAGGATGATGGGAGTGGTAGGCCAGGTCCAGGATGTGGTTATCCCTTCCTTGCTCTTGTTACTCCATGTTTACAATATATTCTTGCAATCCCCAGTGATGTATGTGATTGTGTGGGGTTACAGTCATTGTTATTGTGAACAATGTGGACAACGAATGAGATAACAGCATCATTCCCTTAGTCTTATTGCGTCATTAGTCCATTACTGCGACTTATAGTGTCATCCCTACGTCATCAGTGTCCTGTGGTGAGAACAGTGTGATAGCAGAGCCCACATGTGGCATTTATAATACATTACTGTGATGTTAGGATGTATTATGGTGAGAGTGTGATGTTGAGACGTCACCATGCTCTCATATGACGTCATATTACTGTATTAACTTGGCTTCCTCAGTTCTCATAGTGCAGAGCTGACTATTCACACACACACACACACACACACACACCATTATATAATATAATATAAGGACTGTGTTTTTACCAAACAATTAAGCAGTATAATTCTGATGGCTGTGTGATGACGTCACAGTAACCCTCTGTGACGTCAGACTGCATGACGTCCTCCCCCATGGGATTATAATAATTCACTCTGATGTCAGTGTGTGGTTCTGTATGGCATTATAAAGGGTCCTAGAATGGTTCATGTTAATGTTTGACGTCACGAGTGACGTTTGTTGACGGGTGACGTCACCAGCACAGGGCTAGCAATGCAACCTGCGCCACACTCTGCATGGCTGCCAAGACTGGCCGCCCGGCCCCGCCTACTCGCCGCTGATTGGCCGGCGTTGCTGGCCGCGGATTGGCTGTCCCGGTTAGTTGTCATGGAGACCGAGGTTGTCAGTTAGGAGTTGGTGTTGCTGTGCTGGGAGAAGGGGCGGAGCTTCCCGCAGCAGGTGTGTGTGAGAGGTCACGGGAAGCAGCAGCCGCTCCCCGGATCCCAGGACCGACCTCCCCCCGGTACCGAGCCCGCTCACCGAGCCGCGACCTCCGCCTTCCTCCCCTCACTGCTCGCAGACATGTCCGCGGGAGGAGACTTCGGGAACCCGCTGAGGAAATTCAAACTGGTCTTCCTGGGCGAGCAGAGCGGTGAGAGAGAAATAAAATAATAATAATAATAATATACACAGTGATTATAATATATAATAAATAATAATAATATAATATACACAGTGATTATAATAATATATAATATAATAATATAATATACACAGTGATTATAATAATATATAATATAATAATATAATATAATATACACAGTGATTATAATAATATATTATATATAGTGTGTGTACTGAGACATTCAAACTGGTCTTCCTGGGCGAGCAGAGCAGTGAGAGAGAAATAAAATAATAATAATAATAATATACACAGTGATTATAATAATATAATCTACACAGTGATTATAATAATATTATATATAGTGTGTGTACTGAGACATTCAAACTGGCCTTCCTGGGCGAGCAGAGCGGTGAGAGATATATAATATAATAAGTAATATAATAATACTACTACTAATAATTATATATATATATAGGGTGTGTACTGAGACATTCAGACTGGTCTTTCTGGGCTATCAGGGGATGCAACTTTTCTGGGGGGTTTGTGTGTTTTTTAAGTTTTATTTTATTTATTTTTTAAATAAAAATGTGTGTTTTCGTGTCTGGAGATAATTAAGTTAATACTGTACTTGACTCAATTATCTCCCAGGCAGAGGGGATGGATTATATGATTATGTATGGGAGTGTCATGTACTTGAACAACTTTGTCATTGGTCTGTAACTTTGTACTATAGTCTTCCATCAGGTCCAGTTGGGAGTACCCCTTGCATGGGGACTTGCATATAAGGCTAGTTGTGGCTACCATTAAACAAGTTCCTGCTTACCCTCAACATAGTCTCATCTCCATGCTTGGGGGAAACGGCTGTATCTACCCTGGGGATTGCTATATCACTATACTCCTCTGGGTTATAATCACTTGCTCTTGAAAGAGCAGCCTGCTATGCTCTCTGGAGTAGGGGAGGTCTGCCCACTGGAAGCTGAATCCTGGTCTTGGGTGCAGGGTGGGTGGAGGACAGCGAGACCCCAGCCAAGCTGTAACGCTGGAAGTGGGTACTTCGGTGCTGATGGTGTCTGGTGTAATGCTTGGAAGTACTTGGAGGTACTAGGAAGCAGTGATTGGCCAGGCGGTCCATCACAATATGCATACACTTTCTATAGTATAGACTGAGCTGAGTGAGACGCATACTGTGATTTATAGCATGTACAGTGGTGGGAGAGTCAAACAGTGTTATCCCCTAAAATGTTAATCGTTTGGAAATGAAAGCTAACTTACAATTCTTGGTGATAAAAGCTAAATTGGAAGCATGTTTTCAGTCATCTTAATTTTTAGTTTGGCTATTTCAGTCAATAATGTTTACATTCCAAGCACTCCTGTTTAGTATAACCCAGATTGATAAACATACACTGTACATTGGGTAATATAAAGTGTGGAGAGACACAGATGTAGATACAATTGTTCTTTAAACGGGATAGTGACAAGAGACATTTACTATGCTGTGTAGAGTGGTGAGAAACTGCCTTTACTGAGAGAGATAGTGTCTGATCCATACTAACATACAAAGCCAATGGAAATCGGATCGATGTGATATATCTATAATAATAAAGACATATATGAAACTTTTATATATCTCGATCATATATACCTGTTGAACAACACTGGGGAATTTGTTGGTGCTTTATAAATAATAATACTGTGATTTTTTTAAAACTGTGAAAAAGAAGCCTTATATATATTTTAGGTAAATCAACACTTCTTTGGTACCCTGCTTATCCATGCAAAGCTATATTTATTTTGAAGATATTGTGTTTGTTCCAATATCTTTCAGTTTTGTGTAATAGACCCTATATGTATTTACAGCTTACAGGCAGCTGCTACTGGTGGAATTTGTACTCTCTGAACAATTTAAAGGTGTTGGGGAGCAATGTCTGTTGTAGTATATTGTCCTTATTCGTGTGCAGCCACAAAAAGACACACAGGGACATTGAACCTTTTTGTTTTTTTGTTTTGTTTTTTGTGCTATTTAAAGAAATAGTTTCTAGAATAGTTGCTCATAACATCAGTGTGAAATGTCAATAAATGCAATGTAATACTTCCCCCAGCTTGTGACAGCTCTACTACCGCTGTATAATCTTTGCTTTGTAACTGAACGGAATCTATTTTCTTTTTTTCATTGCACAATATTTACATGTCAAGATACTGTGCAGAATGTCTGTGCACCTAGTTGCAGACAAGCCTTGGTCACTAGGAAGTTAGGTGCATTTAACTGATGCTTATCTTACAGATTCCTCAAACACTTCACTAATACTCTCTTAAACCTTTCAAAAGCATGTGGTAAATGAGATCGACCTCTGGTGCTTCACAGGTTAAAGGTAATTCGTCTTGGCAAAAGCAAATAATATGATCACTTTGAGAACGGGTAAAGGCTTAGAGAAACTCTGTCGCTTGCCCTAAAGTAAATCCCCATTTGGGTCTCCTGTTTTTGCTCACTTGTGCCGTTACAGAGCAAATCTCCACAATCAGATTTATCCCACATATAAAGGCAGTACAGAACATAATGCCAACAAATACTCTGTGCACAAAACATACAGCAACCCCGGACGATCGTTTGGCCTCAGTGATCACAGAGTGTTTTGACTATTTTGAGACCTGTGCAGGTATTTCAACTAAGCTTTTGTCCATTCTCAGTGTTATCAAATTCTCTGTTTTTGTTGCAATATATTAACGTGGGCTCTCCCAAGACGTGGACCCTGTGTCTAGAGGAGTGTCAGCTACACCTTGCTGACGAGGCCAAAAGAAGGCCGATTGTCCTGGGTTGCTGTATCTCTCATGCAGAGGGATCTTGCTGGCATTTCGCTTCTGGACTGCCTTTATAGGTGGGAAGGCCTGATATGCAAATGGTAGATGTTCACTCTGTAATGGCACAAGTGAGCAAAGACTAACCAAAGGGGCAAGCTACTGAGTTCCTTTAATCTGTTGTCCATTCTCAGAGTTCTTATATTATGTTTCTGTTCAAGTTCCCTATTAACGGGATGATAATGTTTGAACACTGGGATTTATTTACTAAACTCCCAATTGTAGCAAATGAAAATCTGAATGACAAAATTCCGGCCAAAATAGGGAGTTGTGACCATAGCGGAGTTAGGGGATTTTTTCAAACATTGCATCTTTGCATATGTTCTGCCATTTGGCTTTCACTTATATACAATTCAGAGTTAAGATAATTACCTCTTGTGTGATGGTATCTACCTTAGTGGAAAAATAATGAACAATCTGCTACGATGATTTATCAATTTTCCTGAGTTACATTGCATCCATAAATTACCCAAGCAGGCCTGATGCTATGGACACTCCCATAATGCTGTGCCAACCACATGGCAGAGCATAATAAGCGATGCGGTATATGACAAGTATATGATCGGTTTTGTGTGGACTTATATGAGGATCATGTCAGTAACCATTTTCTAATGTTAACCTCTCCACAAAACATTTTAACATGAAGTGCAATGTTCGGAGTCCGTTAATCCCTATTGATTTGGAGACTGAATGGTCTGCGTGGGCTTTGTCCATGTTATATGAAGTATGGCCAGTGCCAGCTTGGTGACAGTGGTTTACTAAGTTGGTGCAAATGGAATAGTTTGGCCACTTTGGCTATTTACCAAACACTTTACATTCATTAAGAGAGTCTTTTGATTTATTGGCAATAAACCTGGGGCGAAGGTCTTGGTAGTTTACAGTTCATGTTATCTTTTTAAATATTTGTCAAGCAATGTGAAGACTGTGCAAACCGAGGCATGGACACTCTGTATGTGAAGGTTTGATTCGTTGTCTACACTTTTTCACGTTCCTGATCGCGTTGTTCAATATGTGTCACACATTTAATCCTATTTGCGTGTCCCAAAGGAGTGTGTGATGGGAAGAGACCAATCATGCTTACTCATTTGTGATCATTTCATTTCTTGTGCTGAAGTGAGAATCCTGTTGCTCCCCAGCCACGAAGGAACATGGCTCTCATGATTTAATTCCTCCATGGTGTACCTTATGTCTGCAGTGGGGTCACAAAACCCAACGCTGAGATCTCAGACTCTGAACCTGTTCTTAGATAATAGATTTTTATTTTACTTGAACAAACCTATTTATTTTTATTTCTGTTATGTAGCTTAAGTAGTGTAAAAAATGTAACCTTTAATGAAATTTGCTGGGGGTAGTGAGTCGGATAACTTTCTCCATTGTCCAGGCTTTGAATTCTATGCAGCATTTATAATGGAAACACTGCCTGAGCACTTCCTGCACTAAATCTGCTGTCACTAGTTCACTCAGTGGTACACAAGCAATATGGAGGGTGGGCAGGGGTGACTAAAGCATGCAGTGCTTTTCTGTTTAGACATTTATTTGAACTCTGTACCCTGATCACATATGGGATGCCAGTCACATTTGGGTGCTGGTTTCGTCACAGAAGGCAGTAATAAAAAATACACAGTATTTCCCCAAATATTGTTTTATATATACCATACCATGATTCTAGTTTTATTTTTCTTTGTAATTCCAGTTTAATATTATTCATCCTTCGCTGCTATCCTTAGAACCTCTGATGTTTGTGAACAATTCCCTTAATTTCCATTCAGTGCCTAGACTGGCAGAGACTCATGGGAAGTATTGCAAACATCTGGGTACCAGTGAGAGCCACGACTGCCTTTTTGTTGGCTGTGCATCCTGTGAAATGTACTTCTCAACCATCTATAGCTATCCTTACCTTTCAGATCGCTGTGTATTATGGGTAATGTACTTCCCAACCATCTATAGCTATCCTTGCCTTTCAGATCGCTGTGTATTATGGGTAATGTACTTCCCAACCATCTATAGCCGTCCTTGCCTTTCAGATCGCTGTGTATTATGGGTAATGTACTTCCCAACCATCTATAGCCGTCCTTGCCTTTCAGATGGCTGTGTATTATGGGTAATGTACTTCCCAACCATCTATAGCTATCCTTGCCTTTCAGATGGCTGTGTATTATGGGTAATGTACTTCCCAACCATCTATAGTCGTCCTTGCCTTTCAGATGGCTGTGTATTATGGGTAATGTACTTCCCAACCATCTATAGCTATCCTTGCCTTTCAGATGGCTGTGTATTATGGGTAATGTACTTCCCTACCATCTATATCCGTCCTTGCCTTTCAGATCGCTGTGTATTATGGGTAATGTACTTCCCTACCATCTATATCCGTCCTTGCCTTTCAGATCGCTGTGTATTATGGGTAATGTACTTCCCAACCATCTATAGCTGTCCTTGGCTTTCAGATGGCTGTGTATTATGGGTAATGTACTTCCCTACCATCTATAGCCGTCCTTGCCTTTCAGATCGCTGTGTATTATGGGTAATGTACTTCCCTACCATCTATAGCTATCCTTGCCTTTCAGATGGCTGTGTATTATGGGTAATGTACTTCCCAACCATCTATAGCTATTCTTGCCTTTCAGATTGCTGTGTATTATGGGTAATGTACTTCCCAACCATCTATAGCTATCCTTGCCTTTCAGATCGCTGTGTATTATGGGTAATGTACTTCCCAACCATCTATAGCTGTCCTTGCCTTTCAGATTGCTGTGTATTATGGGTAATGTACTTCCCAACCATCTATAGCTATCCTTGCCTTTCAGATGGCTGTGTATTATGGGTAATGTACTTCCCAACCATCTATAGCCGTCCTTGCCTTTCAGATGGCTGTGTATTATGGGTAATGTACTCCCCAACCATCTATAGCTGTCCTTGGCTTTCAGATGGCTGTGTATTATGGGTAATGTACTTCCCAACCATCTATAGCCGTCCTTGCCTTTCAGATGGCTGTGTATTATGGGTAATGTACTTCCCAACCATCTATAGCCGTCCTTGCCTTTCAGATCGCTGTGTATTATGGGTAATGTACTTCCCTACCATCTATAGCCGTCCTTGCCTTTCAGATGGCTGTGGGTAATGTACTTCCCAACCATCTATAGCCGTCCTTGCCTTTCAGATGGCTGTGTATTATGGGTAATGTACTTCCCCATCTATAGCTGTCCTTGCCTTTCAGATGGCTGTGTATTATGGGTAATGTACTCCCCAACCATCTATAGCTGTCCTTGCCTTTCAGATGGCTGTGTATTATGGGTAATGTACTTCCCAACCATCTATAGCCGTCCTTGCCTTTCAGATGGCTGTGTATTATGGGTAATGCTTCCCTACCATCTATAGCCCAGATAAGCTGTGTATTATGGGTAATGTACTTCCCAACCATCTATAGCTATCCTTGCCTTTCAGATCGCTGTGTATTATGGGTAATGTACTTCCCAACCATCTATAGCTGTCCTTGCCTTTCAGATCGCTGTGTATTATGGGTAATGTACTTCCCTACCATCTATAGCCGTCCTTGCCTTTCAGATCGCTGTGTATTATGGGTAATGTACTTCCCAACCATCTATAGCCGTCCTTGCCTTTCAGATGGCTGTGTATTATGGGTAATGTACTTCCCTACCATCTATAGCCGTCCTTGCCTTTCAGATCGCTGTGTATTATGGGTAATGTACTTCCCTACCATCTATAGCTATCCTTGCCTTTCAGATGGCTGTGTATTATGGGTAATGTACTTCCCAACCATCTATAGCTATTCTTGCCTTTCAGATGGCTGTGTATTATGGGTAATGTACTTCCCAACCATCTATAGCTATCCTTGCCTTTCAGATCGCTGTGTATTATGGGTAATGTACTTCCCAACCATCTATAGCCGTCCTTGCCTTTCAGATCGCTGTGTATTATGGGTAATGTACTTCCCAACCATCTATAGCCGTCCTTGCCTTTCAGATCGCTGTGTATTATGGGTAATGTACTTCCCTACCATCTATAGCCGTCCTTGCCTTTCAGATGGCTGTGTATTATGGGTAATGTACTTCCCTACCATCTATAGCCGTCCTTGCCTTTCAGATGGCTGTGTATTATGGGTAATGTACTCCCCAACCATCTATAGCTGTCCTTGCCTTTCAGATGGCTGTGTATTATGGGTAATGTACTTCCCTACCATCTATAGCTGTCCTTGCCTTTCAGATGGCTGTGTATTATGGGTAATGTACTTCCCAACCATCTATAGCTGTCCTTGCCTTTCAGATGGCTGTGTATTATGGGTAATGTACTTCCCAACCATCTATAGCTATCCTTGCCTTTCTGATGGCTGTGTATTATGGGTAATGTACTTCCCAACCATCTATAGCTGTCCTTGCCTTTCAGATGGCTGTGTATTATGGGTAATGTACTTCCCTACCATCTATAGCTATCCTTGCCTTTCAGATCGCTGTGTATTATGGGTAATGTACTTCCCTACCATCTATAGCTATCCTTGCCTTTCAGATGGCTGTGTATTATGGGTAATGTACTTCCCAACCATCTATAGCCGTCCTTGCCTTTCAGATGGCTGTGTATTATGGGTAATGTACTTCCCAACCATCTATAGCTATCCTTGCCTTTCAGATCGCTGTGTATTATGGGTAATGTACTTCCCAACCATCTATAGCTGTCCTTGCCTTTCAGATGGCTGTGTATTATGGGTAATGTACTTCCCAACCATCTATAGCTGTCCTTGCCTTTCAGATGGCTGTGTATTATGGGTAATGTACTTCCCAACCATCTATAGCTATCCTTGCCTTTCTGATGGCTGTGTATTATGGGTAATGTACTTCCCAACCATCTATAGCTGTCCTTGCCTTTCAGATGGCTGTGTATTATGGGTAATGTACTTCCCTACCATCTATAGCTATCCTTGCCTTTCAGATCGCTGTGTATTATGGGTAATGTACTCCCCAACCATCTATAGCTATCCTTGCCTTTCAGATCGCTGTGTATTATGGGTAATGTACTTCCCAACCATCTATAGCCGTCCTTGCCTTTCAGATGGCTGTGTATTATGGGTAATGTACTTCCCAACCATCTATAGCTGTCCTTGCCTTTCAGATCGCTGTGTATTATGGGTAATGTACTTCCCAACCATCTATAGCTGTCCTTGCCTTTCAGATCGCTGTGTATTATGGGTAATGTACTTCCCAACCATCTATAGCTATCCTTGCCTTTCAGATGGCTGTGTATTATGGGTAATGTACTCCCCAACCATCTATAGCTATCCTTGCCTTCTAGGTTGCTTCAATAGAAATGGTCTCTTTGACTGAGAATCCCTTGGGCTGCAAAGGTTACCCATCACTGCTGTAGAGGGTAAACCGGCTTCCTCGCCGCTGCCCACAGATATTGCATAGAGAACGACATGGTTGCGGCCTCCAGCAGGATGAATGCTGTGATGAATGGCTGTGTCTGACTGTGTATGCCGGGACTGTGTGTGCCGGCAGGGGAGAGACCTGCAGCGCTGTATGAACTTATTCAAGGCGTGTGTCACTTCACACAAAGGCTCAGATCACTCACAAACCTGCATTGCTATTGTGTTAAAGCCACTTGAAAGCTTTCTGATATTTCAGGCACGGCGTGTTTGGGGTGTGTGAATGCATTCCTCACTTGGTTAGCTAGTCACGCCTTTTCCTTTTACTGCTGCCGATCACCTTAAAGGACAACGGTCACACACACTTTTTATTAGGCTCAGCAACCGTATTGGGTCCGACCTTACTGCTGCTTAACCTAACTTACCTTCTCTGTGTGAAATGGCAAGTTAGGTGGAGCAGCAGTTGGTCAGTGATGCAGTTGTCCTTTAACCAGAGGGACGGATTTAGAGGGGGCTGCTATCTCTTTAGTACCAGTTCAAAACTCTTGGTAACAATGAGTTCCTTAGCCGAGATCATTTAGCCTTTTTACCTATGAAAGTAGTAGGAACTAGAAATCAATGTGACCCTAATAGTGATAATTTTGCTTAGATAACTATATCTGTTATGTGTAAGGTATCGTTCTCCGTACTGGACATCAGACTGTGTAAGCTTCACAATCAACAGCAATATCTGACAAACTGCGATTATTTCATATAGTCATTTAGTCATCGGAGAATGTAGTAATGCTAATACTATATTGCGTAATGACTGCCGGGGTTACTCAGACTGCGATGAGAAGCCAAGCATTTAGTGCAATACACATGGTGCCCTCCATTCTTTCCACTCCTTGCAAGTATGGGCAAGTAGCTTGCTTCCAAGCACTGTTAATCCAGGTGTATGGATACTGCTCGTGTCTGGTGTCATCCCGCAGCAGTGAGTCCCAGACTGGGGTCTCCAATGGAATTCACAAACTTTGTTTTTGTTTTTCTTCACATCCCTCTTTTCTAATTATATCATGTAATTAACAAATATTACTTGATGAGAGCTGAAAAATAAGATTAAATGTATAAATTCACACTGCTCCATTCCCTCTGCCCTGAAACGGAAGGATAGAAACATTGATGGTTGATATAAAAACATTTGCTTTGATAATATTTTTTGTTTGCTTGTCATGTTTGTTTTTCCTCTTTTAAGGCAATGTGTGCCCTGAATGTGCCAGATATGAACTGGATTAAATCATTAAATCTTTAATACACATGAAATATTAATACCAGTTAAAGATAAAAAAATTTTATTTTTTTTGTGATGTTATTTAGAGAAGTGACAGTTCCCTGGTAAGGAGCCATATTTGAAGCACTGCATTTTGTTTTTGTTTTTTGGAAATCATTTTTTTTTTTTTTTTTTGAGCCTACCCACACTAAATTGCTTTACAGGGTAAGCCTGAGGCTTTTCTGTAGCATGAATTGGTAACATTTAGTAGTGTTTAGTATTTGGCTGTGTGTAAGGGGAGAAGCGACTATTCCAGAATCTGCTTTGAGAGAGAATGCTGTCATTGTTGGTCTTTGCTGAATAATACCTCTTGCAGTACAATGCTTCCTTGCATTGGTCTGGTGTTTGTATTTCCTAGCCTGTTTGGCATTCAGGATTCCTTGAGATGAAAAACTGCAAATACGTTTTCTAATGTCGAGGACTCTTGATCACCTGCCATATTTAATGGACGCTTTGAAGCTCGATACCGTGGAGTTGCTGCCAGCTGACCGCTTATTAAGATGTAGCAGGCAGATAGAGGCCTTGAGTGGTCCACATAGTTTGGCTCTGAGGATTATTGAAATTCCAGGTTATTAGCCCCAAGCTCACATTACATCTCTTTGAATACAGCTGTTATTCTAGTGCTATACTGCCAGTAATGTTCACAGCTCTGGCATGTGTTCTTCCAAGATCCTTGCAGAGCCCACTGTAGCCAGCCTTTTAATCATATAGCGGCTGCGTGTTGTAGTAGTGGTTGCTGTGTGACAGCATAACATCCTTTGCTGGCATTAAAATGCTGAGAAATCTGGCTTGTCCTGCATCTCATGTCAGTTTACCTGGTTTTGAATAATGTTAGCTGGATACTGAAGATGAAGGTAGTACATATAAAGCTATATTATGGGTAGGATAATGCAATCATGCCTGGCTCACTCTGCTTGTGTGTTTTTGTGTGCACTGTCTGCGTGTGTTTTTGTGTGCACTGTCTGCGTGTGTGTGTTTAGTGAATTATGTTCTCCTTCTAATAGTCTGTTCATTGATTCTCTGCACCATGGTCTATAGCAGGGGTAGCCAACCTTCGGCACTCTAGATGGTTTGGACTACATTCCGCATATTGCTCGTACAGCTATGAAAATTAAAAACTGGCTCCTAGATTCCAAGCAAATTTATCAAGCCCTGGGTTTGCTTACTGTGCCGCTCCTATATCTTTCTTTCATTTCGTTAGATGCTGCCATGAACACATGGTTCTTGCATAGGGTTTCCCTATTGAGATTACATTATAGGTGTGTTTTTTAATGTTTTATTGAACGGTGTAGTTTTTCAGAGAAATTATCATTTCCCTTTAAGAACCCACTCCTCCCCCCAAAACCTAGTTTTTGTTTAAATTATCCTAAAAAGAAATGGATGTTAAATGGGATAAACCAATGAAGGAAGTGGGAGTTATTGGTAGTGCAGACAAGCCGAGCACTTATAAGTGGATCAATAAATCTTTAAAGAATGCAAGGAGCAAATGTGTCCGGTAGAGAGTTCTGCTTTATCTTCAGATTGCTCAGATAAATCTGTGCTCATTGGCCCAGGCAGGATCATAAATTAGCTGAAGTAATGTGCTGCTTTGGGGGGGTTGGCCTGGTGGGTGGGAGACCGACGTGTGCTCTTTATTTATTATTAATGGCGGCTCAGCTTTCTAGAGACTGGAACCTGTTTTGGATGTTATGGTATGCATCATTACTCGAACAGTTTTTTTTTTTTTTTTTCTCTAGCTTTTTATAATTGGACACCTTCACACGTAGCTGCTATTCACTTTACACAGCTCCTTTTGGAGATCACTTTGTGTTTAAGGGACGCTCAAAGCATTGTAACCACTTCATCTTAATGTAGTGGTTTATGATGCAAGGATGCTATGGGTGCCATGCCTCCAGTTTTTGTCAAATTTTCTTTTTCTGGTAGTTTTACAAAAATGTAAGGGGCCTTCCTGGCATGTAAAGCTGACCCCAAGGAAGCCTCAATCAGTATGTTCCATTGGAGAGGTTCAGGTGACTAAAGCTGGCCTCATGGGAGCCTCAGTCAATATGTTCCATTGGAGGGGTTCAGCCCTTCATCCTTCCGAGGTAGATAAAATGAGTACCATGAAATTGGGTAATCGTAACAACCTCTGGATGTTGGGCTAAGGTAACATGCCCCGCTTGAAAACCTGAGTAATCTGAATGTACCTTTCCTGGTTTTTTTTTTTCTTTGTTGTTATTATTTCATTGTCCGCAGAGGGACTGGCTTCGGGTGCCTGGTAAGCCCCTGAATTTTGTCATACTACTAGAAAAGGGTTTGCAGCGGTAGCATTATTGCATCATAGCTCTATTATCGTAAACTGCAGGAATACAATAAGCTGTAGATTGTAATATTTGAGATTATTCACTGAACTGGTAGTAGTGCAGAATTGACAATGCAAATGTAAATTTTATGCCAAATTAGGCAAGCTGCAAAAATACCCCAACTCCACCATTTTTAATTCCTTCTTTGGATTTTGACGTGTGAGTAATCTTTTTGGAGGAGAGGGGTGCGTATCTTTTTATGTATGTTTGTTTTTGTGTTGTGTCTATATAGATGTATCCTGTTTTGTGCTTGCGTGAATATAACAAAAAAAAAAAAGAGCATAAATCTGAAGTAAACTGCAATATATTAAAGCAGCACTGCCCCATCTCTAAAATGAGTATTTCATAGAGATGGTATTTCACTAAAAATCAAACCCGGTCAAAAAATATGAGGTAAAGAAGGGACTGCTTTTTACAAGTATTTATCCTCTGCTTGGCAAAGCTGGACACCTGGTGGAGCTACAGTCATCAAGGTTGTCTGCAGCTGTAGAGAAACTCCACTCTTTTTCTATAGAGGATTGATCACTGACATTTACTCCTAGCGGCTGAAGAGGAGCAGACTATGGCGGCAGCCGCGAGTGACAGGTTCAGGTATGTGAAACTCAACCAGACCCCCACCAGCGATGTCACCGTGATGGATCTTTGCAGTAGATCCGCTTTAACACTTACATCATGATATAATTGGAATGAACAGTTCCTCTAGTTACTGAGAACATTGGTGGACTTATTACATTCAGTGTTGTCCTAATGGAATGTGGAACGGTGAAGGCACACCATAACAAGATTTGGGGATTTTTTAAAGTAGATTAAAAGACTCAAGCAATATTTAGAAGAAAAAAAATAATTATATTTACTATAAAACACCTGCAACATGGTCACCATATCCTGTCTTCACCATACCTGTCTTACAAATTCCTCATTACTAGCAAGGATGGGGGCCCATATGCACTTAACTTCAAACTGTCATTGCAATGCAGGGCCCTTCATATTGCTAGAACAACATGTTCATTGAAAATGAAGTTGAATGTTTGTCAAACCCTGCAATAATTTATATACACAGCAAGTACTGTAATCGCTGTGCTCTTTGCATAGGTTATAGTGCAAGAATCTTCCGATGTTCTGAGTTCGTTCATAGCCCTTTCTTTCAGCCTATCATCAATAGTTTGCACTTTCACCAGTGGTTGAAACCGTACAGTTAAATAGTTGAGGAATCTCAGGACTGCCATGACTGACTAGCTGCTAAAATTAACCTCTGCAAGTCTTCTCCTTGGTTGTCAGTAGTACCACCCTGCACCTCCAATCCTAAGTTACATGTACGTAACTCAACTGGTGCTGTGCCAGAACATCACCTTCCTTACAGAAATCGGGATATCCAAACTTTTGTGCCATACTTTTTTTTTTTTTTTTCCATCTGAAAAATTAGATGACTAGCTGAGATTCAATATGTCTCTTCAAGACCTTGTTATCCTGTCTGGTGGTGGTCCTTTGGACATTGCTCCATCTGTGCCCTCTGCAGTGCATTGGTGTCTATTCCACATAACACAAGATCCCGCAGATGGTGGCTCATCAAATGTATTTTTTCAGACAGACTATAGGAATGGGCTGTTATCACCACTGTTGCCAGTAGGCATTACAGGGAACTCATTTTTGGGTCTCCAGTCAATAGAAAAAAGCAATCTTTCTTACAGTTTTGTTGGCTTTTGGGAGGTGAGGGTTTATCCCTGTCACCTTTCCAGTGAGTTTTAGCAAGAGATGCTATGTTCCAAAGGTGGTACTCGGGCTATTGCACATCTTTCCTCCTCTCCCTTTGGTCTTCAGAGTCCAACAAAAGATCTGGAAAGAAGGTGAAGATGTCTTCATTAATGCTCTAATTCGACTCTGCAGGATGTTGTTAGCCAGTCTTTGAACTCTTGCTATTCAGTTACCATAACTGAAAGGAACAAACCTTCAACAGTAGGGTCTAGACATCATCACAATTCCCACCAGCTTCATCAGCAGGTGGAGATAAATCAATATAGGGCTCTTCTCCTCAATAATAATTCAAACCGAAGATTAGAAAGCTATCTACATCTTTGAAATTTGTGCCAGATTGTGTTATGATTCAATGTTTTGCCGTGAACATTGAATGTCTTCACTGTCAATCCCTCAGTATGTCAAAGTCCAAATTGCAGCTTTAGAAAGTCGGCCTAATCGACTCTTCTGTTATCACTTCGTCAGATTTGTCAAGGCTGCATTAGGATTGTATTTCACTCAGCCCTTCAAAGTGTAATTCTCTGCTGTCTGGGATCTGTTTTAGATTGTGGAGGACTCTTTCCAGTATAGATAAAGATGACCCACTTGTTATCTTTGTTTTTAGTGGGTGTTAGATTAAATTTGGCAGAGCCAAGTTAAACCGAAGGATTGTTTGTACCTGTTTGCCCGACTGTCACCATAGCGTATTGGCCCTTTGTTACATGATTGGTTAGCAGTTTGTTAATAGGCCTCCAGTTGCGGTGCTTTTCCCAGCAGCAGTCTACATTTTCCAGTTATCTAAGAAACTCATTCAACCACGATATTGCCGAGTTGTGCTGCCATTCAAAATAATTTTCTCTTAATTTCTGTATTTAAATTCCCCCCTCGTATCTGGGAAATATGAAGAGTTTCACTGCCTCGTGCCAGGTAAAGTTGGTGAGATTAAATTTGGGAGGAGACCTTTAGAGTACCTGTAAAGGTGAGCCCCATGAAGGTTGAAGGCATTATTCCAACTGCATGTTACAGAAACTTAATAGCAAATGTGAATAATTAGGTTACAATTTAATATGAACACACACAAAAAATAAACTGGAAAGCGATACAGTAAAGCATGGGGCAGTGTAGCTGAAAGAATGAATATTTTGTAGAAGTTTCGAAAGCCTGTGGATGGCATCTCTTGTGATGCAGAGGTGCATGGTTGAGTCTGCGTTTTACACTTAGAAAACAGATAAAAACTGGTAAGAAGACCCCATCAATGCAGCTGTCAGTGTAGGGGAAGGTATGTTTATGTAAAAAGAATGTGAGGAATGCTCCAGTCAGAGGATGTGAGTCATAGCTGGAAGGTGGAGGCATTGACAGAGCCTCGGATGAGTAGATGCCGGAAAATGAACGCATGAAGTTAGAAAATACACTGTATACTAAGAGTCAGTGACGGCTGGTGAATTTTTAACATGGTGCGGCACCAGACTCCTCCCCCAGAATTTTATTCCTTCCTATACAGTGCAGAGATGCTCCTATATTAAAGCAAGCTTGGCACAACGTAAAGTTATCTCTAAAATGCATAGGGCAGAGTACAATCCATAGACTTAACACACACAGCTAGGCACAATAAGGAGAAATAACAAACCCACACAGCCAGGGTCACCGTGATGGATTACACAGAGCTGCAATATAGAGATACCCACACAGTACATGTCTCTGTATAGTGCTAAATCTCTCTATCTTCCTATCCGCTACTCCAGACTCACTAATAGCTCTCTGCACACAGTGTTCACAGGGATACTGACACTCCTTATTACACTTCCAGCTGGCAATATAATTAATCTGCATTTTATCTGCATAAAATGGAGCCAAGAAGTAGCTGACGTAGTCCTCAGTCACAGCCTCAGTCCTGCAGTTTGAAACTTCACAACTCTTGAACTGGCCACAACATGAGTGTCTCAGCTGTAGAGTGACTCCGCACTGAGAAGATGATTAGTAACAGTACACGGTGCTCTGTGTCAGAAATGTTCCCCTACACTTGTCACCCCTGGCCATCCTATGTATGTATGTATGTATGTATTTAAAAAAACAAACAAAAAAAAACTCTCCTGTGGGCACTGTAACCCCACCCCTGGTGCAATCAGCCAATGATTGCTCTTCAGTAGATCGGCCAATAGCATTCCTCCAGTCATGAATAGCTGGCTCTGCTGCCCAAACAACAACTTAATGGAAATTCCTTCTTAAAGGACACTAGGCATGTGCAAAACCTGCTGAAACGGGGCAGATTTCAAAACCATCCCCTTTAAAAAAAAAATAAAAAAAAAATATCTATATACTCTCAAGTAAGCTTCTCCAAACATGTGCCAATGAGACAGGAGGGGAACTGAAACCTATTACAGAGTAAAAGACCCTTATTAATTCCCATTTTATTTTATTTTTTTAGCTTACCACCCTTTTTTGTAGAACAGGAATCTTTAGTGTTTGTAAACTACTGCAAATATTTCTCCCCCCGTCATAAACATTGGTAGAGCGATTCCCGAAGTGCCCCTGTGGCCGAGCCTCTGCTACTAAGAATGTATCTATAATCACTTGTAGCGTGTGGACAACACTAGTATAGTCACTAAAATGTGAACTGAAAAGGGAATTTGCTAATTTTAGGCTTAAATATCCAGATTTGGAAAATTCTTCAACTGTTTACAACTGTCATTAACTAAAATTTTAATTTCTCACGTCAATTCTACATAACTCCGGGTTTATTGATTCAATCCCACTTTCACATGTTTAACAAGAATAAATGTTTTATTACATGCCTTGTGCTAGCCACATTGCGATCAGATGCATGAATGACATTGTAGCTAAAGGTGAAGTTTCTATCAAAATAGTGCTGTAAACCATTATAAAGTAGCGTACAAGGCAAACTTTATAAACCGATGTGTTTTACAGTGTTTTGTAGATCATTAAATGGTTGACGTTATTCGTAGGTGCCGTAAAAGGCTGGTTCTGGAAATTAAATGAATATCAAGAGATACATTTCAATTAAAGAACCACTATAGTGCCAGGAAAACTTACTACTTTTCCTGGCACTATAGTGCCCTTACCTTTTTTCCAGTGCTGGGCGGGGAGCTCTCCTCCTCCGATCCTCCTATTCGGCTGAATGCGCATGCGCAGCAGGAGCTGAGCGCATTCAGCCAGTCTCATAGGAAAGCATTTATAATGCTTTCCTATGGACGCTGGCGTCTTCTCACTGTGATTTTCACAGTGAGAAGCACGCAAACGCCTCTAGCGGCTGTCAATGAGACAGCCACTAGAGGCTTTAGAGGCTGGATTAACCCATTTATAAACATAAACTGCTATGTTTATTAAAAAAAAAAAAGGGGGTGGGGGGTTAATCCTAGAGGCACCTGGCACCCTGACCACTTCATTAAGCTGAAGCGGTCTGGGTGCCTAGAGTGGTCCTTTAAAGGTCTTATAATACATTACAAAAACACAAATCTTATTTATATGATATAAAAAAAGTTTAAACTTTTTAATTAAAGGGGTACTCCTTACACCATGACCACTCCATTGATTTGAAGTGGTCATGGTGGTAGGAGTCAGTATGTGCAGTTATTTCTGCTTGAAACATTGAACATACTGAGTTATTGTTAATTGTGTGCTGGAGGCTAGTTGCACACGGGATAATGGCATATAAATATACATTATCTATACCTGTGAGTGTATATAGGTAATCTATAATAAAGTACCTTGTACTTTTTTGCTGATTGTTGACAGGCCCCCCTTTAAACTGAGCAGTTTACAGAAACTTTGTTTAGAGAGGGGTTCAGTTCTAAATGAGGAGCTGCAGTGTTCCTGTTGAAAATGTGAGAGGGGGAGGGTATGGCTCATATTATTGTATTTCCCTTGTCCCACCCCCTCCCCTGTTTTAAACAAATACACCGAAAATATCTGATTTAAACAGCTAAAAGTGAGCTATTGTTTTTTTGGAGAGAGTCTATTTCTGGCAGACAAAACACTGGTGTCCTGTCAGCACCTCGCCCTAATTAGTTTTGATGGGTTAGTGAGCGTGCAATACCCAGCCTGATGGTTTAGACTTGCGAGTTATGGAGCAGATGTTGTTATGGTTCAGTGTCCTGACGCACTGCCCAATCAGGTTAACGCTGGCAATCTACAGCCTGTAAGTCTGCAGGTAGAGCGTGGTGTGTGTGTCTGAGCAGACTGTTCCTGTCACTTCCAGGCATCCTGCCTCTGTCATCGGGGAGCTTGAAAACTCTGTCTCATTAAACGTGAATTTGGAAGTTGCTGTCTTATTATGCAAAAAGGTTCAGTCCCCACCCCCCCTCCCCCTCCAACCTCACTTCACACAAAATGAGATTTTCAGTCTTTCATATGCTGTAAATGAAAATCACTCTCCCCACTGGGACACCTTCATTTTTCTTCCATTAATTCTAAAAAATAGAATCTAATTTTGGCAGAGGCACCAACCGTTGTATACTAGATAAATCTGTCAAAGAAGTAATGTCGGTAATTATTGCAAGAGACCGGAACGGCTCACGTCTTCATTTCTGATTCTTGGTTTTCATGGCCGAACCACGTTAAAGAGGGATTGTTTTGGGCTTAAAATAAACAAGAAAAATCCAATCCTTTTTTTTCTCTTCAAGGAATATATTGGGAGACAATAGAATGTGAAGTAAGAATAAAACTGAATCTCTCCATTTACTAGGAGTTTGGCTAAAACCAGGTGGAGATTCTAAGTTCAGACCCCTTGTCACACAAGAACGGGTTTATACAGCAATCAGATACACATCAGTCAAAACACCATATTTTGTCAATCTTGCCCATTTAGCTTCAGACAAGTAACATCATCTTACATTTGCATCTTTGTGAGTTAGAAGAATATAAGAAAAACAAAACTGAAAAAAGCAGGCTAACTGTGTTCTAGTGCACTGTAGTAAGCTTTAGGCTCCTAAACTAGAGTCCATAATAGGCTGTTTGACCCTAGGTGGAAATGTTTGGAAAAACGTTGGTCCTGTCTCCTTTATCAGGACCGGTCCTTGTGACTCTTTCGATTTGCAATGTTTATCAACATCATAATGCAGATGTAGTACTTTAACCCCTTCAGGACGGAGTCAATAGTGCACGTTCTGATCAAAACAAAACGTAAACAAAACCTGGAATTAGCGCTATGTCTGTTCAACCGTAATTCACCGCTGTCACATTAAGTGCACCCACACTTATTATATATCATTTTGTTCAGGAGAAACAGGGCTTTAATTTATCATTAACTATTCATATATGGAACATAATTTATTATGAATAAGATTTTTTTTAAAATTTGTATTTCTGTGTGACATTTTAGCTGTGAATGTCATAATACTGTTAGGTTTTACTGCAAAAAAAAAAGCACATATTTGTAATCCCAATTAGCAGGTTTTATGGTGTTTTGGAAAGTTACAGGGTCAATATAGAATGTTCCATTTTCAAATTGAAATTTGCCAGATTAGTAATGTTACCTTTGAGCGCGTATGGTAGCCCAGGAATGAGAATTACCCCCATAATGGTATACCATTTGAAAAAGTAACGACACAGAGCTCACTCTGTATGTCCACTCACAATTGACATATTCGCCTGCCTGTTTCAACTAGAATTTTTCAGGTGGCCTGAATATAGAGGCCATCCAAATACATATTAGCCAGACTAAGTGCTTTCCACGTAACCCATTACAGTGCTCGACAAATCTGACATTTGTAAGCCCTCCAAGGTGGGCTTTCGGCTGTGTTTCCTGTAGGCGGGTGGAAAGGGCGCTTTGATCTCTCCCTGCTCTGCCTTACTCCCCTTTATTCTCACCCCGTGCTGGTCTACCTGTGGCTGGTCTTGACCTCCTATGGCTGAGATAATCACAATTGATGATTTCTATAAGGAGATGCTGATTGGCAAGACCAGTGTTTGGACGCGCCCTGCCTCCTTGACAATCTCAACCAATCTAATGCTTTTACTTTTACTACAATTCTGATGATTTCAGTCATGGGGGAGGAGCAAGGGTAGGGTCAGTGCCAGCGGACATGCGTGGGCCCTGGATTTAAAGTAAGGGTGTTGTTTTTTACTTTTTTAAGGGGGGGGACAAGCCACTATAGGGTCAGGCATACATGTTTGTGTTCTTTTAACTCCTGTATTAAATGGTTTTTTTTTTTTTCTTCTTTCAAAAATCAGAATAATTGAACCTGCACCATACGTGTTCTGGAGTGCCCTTTCAGGATAAACTAACCTTTGTCTAAAATTAAACCCAGGCCTCCCAACCTTGGTGGATATGAGGCTGTGATAAGGAGTGATCTCTCTAGTATGCCAGGTGTGTACTCACTGTAGAGTGGTGATTGTATGAAAATCGGGGGGCCTGAAAGGTATTGCTTGTCTCCATGGCAAACTAGCATTTAGACTTTGTTAAATGGACTTTAAATAATGTGCAATTTTACAAGCAGTTTACAGAGCTGTGTCAATAAAAAAAAATAAAAAATAAATACTTTGAGTATCTTTCTCCTCTTGTGTGCAGTCTGACACGGTCAGAGTGACCTGTTGGCCTGTTACCACTGCTGGTTCCTACAATGTCCTCACACTTATACATTTAGTTTTGAAGCGGCTTGGTAGAGAATGAAATATCAACACACTGGTTATTATACATTTTAGAAAAGAGATGACCCGTCTTATTTACTAAAAATGCAAGAATTCACGTGTGCACCCAGATATGGGCAGCTCAAAACTGAGAATCCTGTCTGACTGACCGCTCTGAAGTAATAGATTTGCTGCAAACTTGTTTTTATTTTAATTTTTTAATTTTCTTGAATCGAATGGCTGAAATTCTGATCAACTATGAGAGTAGGCAGCAGGTGCTCTCTGCATCATAAACTTTGCAATGCTGCTAAATTGTTATGGTGCTTAGACTGAATTAATAATATTGAGTACCTCAATAAGATATATTAAAGATGGATTACCTGCACAGTTAAGTTCTCTAGTTTTTGTGGTCATCCGTTTTTCATTATAAAAACCTGTTCCTGATCAGAGCGCCAATGAGCCATTGCTGAAATTCACTGGGGACGGGCCCCTAAAGAAATGTTCTGTAATGAATGGTTGAATCCCTCAGTACTGTGTGTCAGGAAAGCGGTTTAGCTAAAGCTTTGTATCAAGCGTTTTCTCCATTGGTTATATAATGTATGTGTAGTTCCGGAGTTCATCAGACCACATGGAATCTGGTTCCATCCCTGGGGATTGTGTCAGAAACACTCATTTAAGTGTAAGCAAATAGGGCATTGCTTAATGAATAATTAACGCAGCCAACACTGAGCAGGCTGGAGTGGGTTGTGTTTTGCTTTCGTTGGTTATGTTTGCGTAGACTGGGCATAATGCATTATAGATGGGATGGAAAGAGACAGCCTCTGTAGTACCATCAGTAATCATATTTATGTTTTTGACCTTGAAAATATATAAATTAAGAGAGAAAACGTACCCAGTGCACGGCTTTGTAAACCTTATATGTAATGCTTTTTATATATATATATATATATATATATATATATATATATTCTATCTAGCAATTCTGGGACCAGTAGTAACCGTGGAGCACAGTCCATTGGTTTCTATGGTGATTGTTATAAATACAAGCTATCCATAGAAATCTGTCCATTTTGAACTGTGTAGTGTATTTGGGATGGCCCCTATATGGGCTATTATGTATTTGGGATGGCCCCTATATTCAGGCCACCTTTGAAAAATTCTAGTTGAAATAGGCAGGCGAATATGTCAATTGTGAGTGGACACACAGACTTTGAGCACTGTGTCGTAATATCGCACTCACAATCTGTGTATTTATCACAGCAGCAGATGCTTTTCCTTGGTACGTGCAATCCGTCTAGCGTTATCAGGATGAATATTTTTGATGGGCAGTGAGCTCCTGGTGCGGTTATGGGCTCTACCAATAGTATTAAGACACCCCCGCAGTTCTGATTCTCCTACAGACCCCCCTGTAGGGTTGACTGTGAGTGGCTACTTGATCCATGGCTTTCTGAAACATTGGACTCCTCTGAGTCAGGCTCCAGTCCTCTCTCCGAGCTATGTCTATAAATATAGCCCTGCTTCAGGCTGCTGCCGCATTATCCAGAGTTAATTAGCTGTGCAGTGATCTGTGAAGAATAATTACTCCTAAATAATACTTATTTTAGTAGCTTCTCTGTAATTATCTCATTTATTTGATCACAGAAATCCTAGATAGTTGTGTTGGCTGATCTCTTGGGAGACAACCTCTAAGATGACAGTAATAGATATCCCCCCGACTCACCCTGGTGCAGTACTTGCCTTCATTATGATTTCAGGGGGCTATATTTTAGCTGCAATGCTCTAAAATTTTATTTAAAGCCATAGAATGCAGAGAATACTTTCATTAAAATATAGGAGGGAACCAAATCCGTATTGTGCAATTCAATACTAGTCTGTAGACATTTTCCAGAATTTCTCTTCTCAGGGGAGAACTGGCTCTTTGGTTATGGTTTGAAGTTAAGCCATTAAAAAGAACAGTCATGTGAAACTTTTTAATGGATAAATGAATCAAAAATCTAATTTTAATTAATTTTCAGTGTACTGCTATATTTTTCCAAATAACCTTTATATAATGTGTTATGCTGATGATTGTTGTGAACCCATCAATGAGAAATGATACATTGTATTTGCAACCCCCTCCCCCCCCCCCCAATAAATATATACAATAAATATTATACCTGCCTGACGTTCACAGTAAGATGTACATTGCATTGTATCAGGGTTATGCACTAAAGTGTGAATTCAAAGTGATTCTCAGATTTAAGCTCTTAAGGACCACTACGGCTTTAATGATGGCATAGACCGCCATGCAGTAAAGGTACCATCAGGGGTTAAACCCCTGATGTTGCCAAGGGACCCTAAATATCTTTCATCTGGGGCCACAGTTAGTGCTATGTGCAGCACTTAGTGCGCTATCCTGCTTATCCGTGGTACTAAGGGACCCCCAGTTAGTGGCCTCAGACAGACAGACCAGCTGAGCTTTAAATTTAACAGTTTTGGATTCTGTGACTATTACATTTATAATCTCAGCATGCCAAATTTTGCAAAGTTTCCGCTTTATAACCTTAATTTACTCCTTGCAATATTTGTTTTAGAATGTCAAAATTAATTGAAATCCTAGACATATTGGGCATTTTAACAAACAGGGCTAATTATGGAATATAGTTTGAGTTGGTTTTCTTTATTTGCACTTGGTGTATAGAAATTATTACATGTAAAATGGAGAAAAAACTTTTGTTTTTGTTTATATTTCATTCCCATTTAATATTGTGTTATGTATACAAATAGGGTATCAAAGGAAAGACCTATTTCTCCTTTAAATATAATCCCTTAAACCAGGGTTCGACAAATCCCAGACGCCATGGCGACTAAAAATGCCTGGGATGCTGCCGCCCTGAGGAGCATGAAGGAGGCGGGCGGCTGCCCGCGGGAGCATGGAGGTGGGCAGCCGCCTGCCTTGAGCAGCATGGAGGAGGCGGCCGCCCGCGGGGGAACAGTATCTGCATGTAGCTTCTCTCTGCTCCCTCGCGCTCTGTAATGATGCCGGGGCCGGAATTACGTCATATTCCGGCTCCCGACAGCATTACACAGCGCGAGGGAGCAGAGAGGAGCTACATGCAGATACTGCTCCCTCGCGCTGTGTAATGCTGTCGGGAGCCGGAATATGACGTAATTCCGGCCCCGGCATCATTACAGAGCGCGAGGGAGCAGAGAGGAGCTACAGGCAGAGTACTGCTCCCTCGCACACAAGAAGACTGCAGCCCCACTGGACCCCAGGAAAGACCCTCTCAGCTCTCCCAAAGGTAGGGAGGCTGAGTGGGTTTCAATTAAAACAAAAGTATGTGTGTGTGTGTGTGTGAACGCGTCAGAGTGTATGCGTGCAAGCCTGTTGTCAACGTAAGACTGTGTGTGAGCCTGTCAAGAGACTTAGGAAAGCATTGGGAGGATTTTGTGCATGCGCAGCAAATGTACCAATCTGCATCTCCTCATAGAGATGCATTAAATTAATGAATCTCTAAGAGGAACATTCAGCACCTCCATGCAGAGCTTGGAGATACTGAACCTGGGTGCTGCACATGGTGCAGCAGTGACCCAGGACACTCTAGTGACCATCTGAGTGACTGTTACTAAGCAGCAATGTAAATTCTGCCTTTTTACAGAAAAGGCAGTGTTTACACTATACTGCCTGCAGGGACAGGCTATCGACACCAGAACAACTACATCAAGCTGTAGTGGTTCTGGTGACTATAGTGTCCCTTTAAGAATTGCATTTTCTCGTTGAAAATGACTGGCTCCTAATTTGTTTAGCTGGCTCCTAGATTCCAAACAAATTTGTCAAGCCCTGCCTTAAACGGAAAGGGATAATTGTGCCAAATATGCCTTGGTCACAAACTGGGTCGTACCACATAAACGCCTTTTCCTGGCACTATAGCTTCCCCCTCTGTCAAGTTATAGTGCCATATAGTGGGGAGGGCGAAGCTTAAAGTACCAGGAAAAGGAGTTTGGTCGTACCACATAAAAGCGCCAGGAAAACAGTTTGTGACTAGTGATGTGCCGACGGTTCGCCGCGGACGGCGAACATATGACCCTGTACCTCACAGTCAGCAGACACATTCCAGCCAATCAGCAGCAGACCCTCCCTCCCAAACCCTCCCACCTCCTGGACAGCTCACTAAGAATGCAGCTTCAAAATGGATGCTGTCCACGAGGTGGGCGGGTCTGGGAGGGAGGGTCTGCTGCTGATTGGCTGGAATGTGTCTGCTGACTGTGAGGTACAGGGTCATATGTTCTGTTCGGGACATCACTATTTGTGACCAAGGCATATTTGATGCACTGGCTCTGCTCCATCCACATTCAGACCTAGTGCGCATGCGTGGCTCGCATTAGGATTTCCCCATAGGAAAGCATTATTCAGTGCTTTCCTATGGAGATTTCGGTGATGCTGGAGGTCCTCATGCAGAACGTGAGAACGTCCAGCATCGTTTAGACGACCAAAAGTTGTCTAAGCACCCGGAAATCTCTCTAGTGGCTGTCTGGTAGAGGAGGACTTAACCCTGCAAGGTAATTATTGACGTTTTTATAAAAACTACAATAATTACCCCTCTAGGGTTAAGGGTGATGGGGGTTTGCACCCAGACCGCTTCAATGGCCCTACAGTGTTCCTTTAATGTAAAAAAAGCCAAACTGGAAAAGTTCTGGCTGCTTTAGCCTTAAAGTTGATGCGCATTGCGTCGTGTGTGCAGGGAATCTCACTGCCTGCCATAGCTGTGGGTTATAATTCTGTGCACACAGCATAAGGCTGTAAGGTTCTATTTATAATATTGAACACAATGTTATCAGTAAGCATTCTACAGTTTGACTTGTGTCATGTATAGGTTGAAGTGTGTGAGCTGTAATACATGCACGGCCGATCAATCACTTTTGTTTGGTTTCTAAAGTCTGCTCAGTCACCAAAAGAGAAAACAAAGATAAACTGCACCAATTGCTCAAAAGGGATTTATACTTTTATCTGTCTGAGACTGGAAAGCAGTGAGCGACTGCAGGATTGGGGCTTCTCTGAATATTACACACTTCAAATCACGCTGGGAGATATGTTGATTGTCTTATTATAAATAGAATTCCCAGGCTACGACTAGCAGTGATCGCATTGCCTTGTATGTGAGAATCTTCCTGCCATCCTGGGGTACATTACATTCTGTTCTGTGAGCGTCCAGCTGTTTGGAGATCGCTATTTCATGTCTGGCTATTCTGTGCATATATTCATCAAACAGACCTTTCTACTATGGATGAACATTGTAAGCTGGGGTTTATTTCAAAATTCCAATAATAATAGACAATTGACATTTTTAGAGCAGAATTAGGGGGGGTGGAGATATCCATCTGTATTTGGGCCAAATGTTTTCAGTTCTCTTGCCAATATCCTGTTTCCTAATTTATTGAATAAAACCCATTAATCGTATTTTCTTTCTCTGCTCATTTTGAATCCGTTGCCATTTCACACCTACACGTAAGGCCACATGTTTTAAATCGCTTGGGGTGCAGTTATTTTTCATTAATAGTGCATATATATGGGAAATCATGATACAGTTCTGTGTTTGGTGTGAAATTCTCAGCAGAGAACTGCACCATGGAGCATATTAATTATCTATAGCCAGTCAGTGCCTGTATAAAGGGGGAAAATCATGGTTATGGGTACGAGCTGGCAAATATAACCTTAATAAAGTCTGTCTTGGTTCTAGTAGCAGAAAACACATTGATATAATTTGTGCATCAATAGCTGACTTTAATGGAAGCCAGAACTTTAATCCTGCAAGTAGATGATTAATGTCTCCGGAATAGATCTGTATCATTCATTGCTTATTGATCTTCCCTGGTTACTGGTAATTTGCTGTGATTTAAGGACAGCAATCACTGCACATTAACCAGTTGGTTGACTATTTTGTCTAGCTAACAGTGTATCCGCTGAAGGAATGATAGGCTAACAGGGACAATATCACATTTAAATACCTCTCCTCCAGGCACCAACATTGCTGAGGGATTTTAAATCAGTGTGGAATTTTGATGCTTTCAGAGTCCATGAGCTCTACTTTTTATTTACCAGATGGAAACCCCAGTTCTAATCTAGTAGCTGTGGGTATTTCCTAATGACAATCTGCCTGGTTTGTACGAGTTCTGCAGTGACTGTGAGTAACAGGCGATCTCGCAGGCTACGTGGCTGTGTAAATTTACCTTTCAGCCCATTGTGTTAGCTGTCATGTGCAACTTCCAGTGGTCAGCGTCCTTGATGCCAATTATGGAACAAAAGCAGGCTGCTTTCCATTTTCACAGAACACTTTGACCTTTACCTGTTTAGAGACAGAATAAACGTTGTATTAAAATATCCCCGCAAACAAAGCATAAAATGAGGACTTATTCTGTTAGAAGAAGAAAAATGTGTGTATGTAAACTACACCAGTTTCTGATACTTTATTTTATTTTTTTGTCTGTTATAAAACCAAACATTAGTCCTTTAGCAAAGTCATTACAAAGCCATGAATTACTGTTATCTCAATCTGTCACTCAACTAGAATTATTATTATTGGCATTTATAGAAGACTGCTCGTTATAGTTATACAATGGGATTATTGAACTATTAATTGACAAATGATGCTTACTGACATTATCGCAAAACTACAGAGTAAATGAATGCTGTATTTTTTGATGAAATTGATAAAACGTTTAGAACTGATAACCTAGCTAATGCAATGATTCTGTGTGTATAGACAAGTTTCTGGGTTGAGTGCCCCAATAATCATTAATAAAGCATATCAGTTTGTAGACTTATCTCAATTTGTAGCAGTACAGTTTGTCATAAATGAATGACAATATCAGTTATTTAAGGGTGTGTATGTGTGTGTGTGTATATATATATATATACATATACACACATACATACACACACAGTTGCAAGAAAAAGTATGTGAACCCTTTGGAATGATATGGATTTCTGAACAAATTGGTCATAAAATGTGATGTGATCATCTAAGTCACAACAATAGACAATCACAGTCTGCTTAAACTAATAACACACAAAGAATGAAATGTTGCCATGTTTTTATTGAACACAACATGTAAACATTCACAGTGCAGGTGGAAAAAGTATGTGAACCCTTGGATTTAATAACTGGTTGGCAGCAATAACTTCAACCAAACGTTTCCTGTAGTTGCAGATCAGACGTGCACAACGATCAGGAGTAATTCTTGACTATTCCTCTTTACAGAACTGTTTCAATTCAGCAATATTCTTGGGATGTCTGGTGTGAATTGCTTTCTTGAGGTCATGCCACAGCATCTCAATCGGGTTGAGGTCAGGACTCTAACTAGGCCACTTCAGAAGGCGTATTTTCTTCTGTTTAACCCATTCTGTTGTTGATTTACTTCTATGCTTTGGGTCATTGTCCTGTTGCAACACCATCTTCTGTTGAGCTTCAGCTGGTAGACAGATGGCCTTAAGTTCTCCTGCAAAATATCTTGATAGACTTGGGAATTCATTTTTCCTTCGATGATAGCAATCTGTCCAGGCCCTGACGCAGCAAAGCAGCCCCAAACCATGATGCCCCCACCACCATACTTCACAGTTGGGATGAGGTTTTGATGTTGGTGTGCTGTGCCTTTTTTTCGCCACACATAGTGTTGTGTGTTTCTTCCAAACAACTCAACTTTGGTTTCATCTGTCCACAGAATATTTTGCCAGTACTGCTGTGGAACATCCAGGTGCTCTTGTGCAAACTGTAAACGTGCAGCAATGTTTTGTTTGGACAGCAGTGGCTTCCTCTGTGGTATCCTCCCATGAAATCCATTCTTGTTTAGTGTTTTACGTATTGTAGATTCGCTAACAGGGATGTTAGCATTTGCCAGTGACTTTTGTAAGTCTTTAGCTGACACTCTAGGATTCTTCACCTCATTGAGCAGTCTGCGCTGTGCTCTTGCAGTCATCTTTTCAGGACGGCCACTCCTACAGAGAGTAGCAGCAGTGCTGAACTTTCTCCATTTATAGACAATTTGTCTTACCTTGGACTAATGAACAGCAAGGCTTTTGGAGATACTTTTATAACCCTTTCCAGCTTTATGCAAGTCAACAATTCTTAATCGTAGGTCTTCTGAAAGCTGTCTTGTGCGAGGCATCATTCACATCAGGCAAAGCTTCTTGTGAAAAGCAACCCCAGAACTGGTGTGTGTTTTTTATAGGGCAGGGCAGCTGTAACCGACACCTCCAATCTCATCTCATTGATTGGACTCCAGTTGGCTGACATCTCACTCCAATTAGCTCTTGGAGATGTCATTAGTCTAGGGGTTCATATACTTTTTCCACCTGCACTGTTAATGTTTACATTGTGTGTTCAATAAAAACATGGCAACATTTCATTCTTTGTGTGTTATTAGTTTAAGCAGACTGTGATTGTCTATTGTGACTTAGATGATCACATCACATTTTATAACCAATTTGTGCAGAAACCCATATCATTCCAAAGGGTTCACATACCTTTTCTTACAACTGTGTGTATGTGTGTGTGTGTGTGTGTGTATGTGTGTATATATATGTGTGTATGTATATATATATATATATGTGTGTGTGTGTGTGTGTGTGTATATATATATATATATATATATTAGTGTCCAATAGCTATCCTCCTGTTGGCGTAACGCCCATGAGGCTTTGTCAGCCTAAAGATTCTTGGAGTGTTTAGTCCTCTGACTGCAGAATGTCTAGGTGTTTGGACCTTCTGATAAATACCCTCTGTATATTTATGACTGAGCTAGATCATGCTAATTATTTCCTTTCTTGCTTTTTTTTTTTTCCTAGTTGGGAAGACATCTTTAATTACCCGGTTCATGTACGATAGTTTTGACAATACTTACCAGGTAAGATCACAATAAGTCTGTTGCTGTGACCATCATCTGTCTGCACTCTTTACGTTTGTTTATTTTTTGGCTTGTTAAAGGGTACCTGTCATGCCTCAAACTATTTATACTCATTTAAACAGCATGAAATTCCATCTATACAGATAGTGCTAGCAGGGAGAAAAAAATGATTTAAAAATAGGTTTCTCCCACCCGTCAGTCAAATCATCGGCACTGACTGACAAGGTAGAACAGAAAGAGATTTCCCACAGAGGGTCCTACTCTCCTAAGCATAGAAACCACTGCGCATGTGCTGTGGAGCAAGCTCTGGCGTGATATTGACAAGCCAGCATGCTGGTGTCACACTGCAGGTTTGCCCTGCTTGTGGAAGTATCCCCAGGAAGAGTAAATCAAGGAGGCCCAGATAATGTACCTGGGGTTGGCATTACACTGGACATGGCAATACTGGAACGGATGTGGTGAGTGTATCTTGATGTTTTCTTTCTGATATTTAATGTATTCCATGTATAAGGGGGTGATTTTAGGTAAGTACTATTTTTTTTTCTCCCAGTTTCACTGTAACTTTTGTCAACAATAAACCTGCGATCTGTAGTATTGAAGGACCTGGACTAGCGCTACTTTCCTTTACAGTTCATAGGTTTTAACCTTTTAAATGCCAATGAACTCGTTGTTCGTTGCCCGGATGTTGAATGGCTAAATTTGCCAAAGAGAGTGCTACATGTAACCATGTTTCTACTCCACTCGGCATTCAAACGGGAGGAATAAAAGACTTTGTACGTTTCTCTGCTTGAAAGAAACAGTAATGCCGGTCTTACATTGCACAGTTAAACTTTCCTTTAATTGTGTTATTTCACCGTTTTTTGGGGGGGTTTATGTTTTCCTTTGTTTTCTCTTCCAGCGGTGTTTAGTCTCCCCCCAAGCTTTGTAGAATTCTTAATGTGTTCATCTCCAGCACTTCTACTGATAGACAATTGGATGCTTCTATTTCTATATTTCTGTCCCATAATTTATTTTTCTTGCCAAAATTCTGCAAGATAAAATGTTTAGGGGTATTATACCCATCTGTAAATTAAAGCAATAATACAATCTCATTTATAGAAGTCAAACTTTGGCATTTCAAGGAAACACATTTTGTTTGTTACCTGTGACATTGTCTCCATTCTTTTAAACTTTCTGGCTATTAACACCACCTGCTGTCCATCACAAAAACACTGGTGTATATGGTGTGATTTCATATGTTGTTTTACATCTACATCACTGGATTAATACAGATACAATCCCTACTACAATTTATTACCTGTCGGGTTCCACACTCTTCCTGACGATCGTGTACAACTACACTTTCATTATAGGTGCCTCACATATTGGGGAACAACAATAAAATAATGAATGAATATCTCCTAAATGTTTTACTTGTATTACAGTAATGCATGTATATCTCTTTAAGGGTGGTAATTAATTTTAGTTTTCTTCATCTTCAGGCAACGATTGGTATTGATTTCTTATCCAAAACAATGTACTTAGAGGATCGAACAGTAAGTATTCTGGGATCTGTGAAAGTTTGAAAAAACGTGTCGACATGCTAGAGAAAATGTAGGATTAAGAGAACTCAGAATAGTAATTTTGCATACAGGTGGAATGAGTAATACTGTAGATCCTACAGTATGCTTCTTTCTCAGCCACCCCTGACATAATCAGTATAATAGCAGTCAATGGGGCATGATGATAATGATAGCCAGAATACAGTAGATCGTACTGTATGCCTCTCTTCAGATCTCCACTTCTCAATATTTCATATTCCCTGACATCTGCAGGAATTTCAGTCTTCGGTGAATAGTTCTTTAATGAACCAAAATAGCAACAACTAGGCGTTGTGTCCTGTCCCAAGCATGAGCATCCTCTGGACACCTTTAAAGGAGCACTGTGAACACTACAATCACTGCTGCGTATTGTAGTTGTTGTGATGTTAATTTTAGATGACTGTTTATTATTAAATGTTTTGTGAGTGGTTTGATAAATTACGTTAGTAATTCCTAATTATTTCCCATGACTGTCAAGATTGGATGAATAATTTAATAGGAAAGAATAGCTTACCTCAATTTATACACAGGCTCCCACACCATCAACGTCTAAGGTATCCATCCACTCTTTCTAAACATCTACACCCTAAAATGCAGCAATCAAGAAGGGTTACTTTAAATTTGTTGTTTAAAAAATCATCGATTTTTCTGCAGAAATCTAGTTTGAGATTAAATTGCTGTTTCCTGTACCAGCTGGGGTCTATGCACTGAGCTATTATTTGCTGGGTGAACTCGAACAGATAACGGCATATTATTACGGTCAGTGTTCAGCATGAGGTCAGGAAGCCCATTCATGTGAAACAGGACAACAAACATGCAATGGCTATAAGGTGATCAGGATGGAGCCTTGCAGTGCTCTGCATTCACTCTTATATGACTTTGATCTGAGACACCAGCAAACCAATGCCGCAAGACGCCCCCTAACTTGTACATCTATAGCGGCGTTCCAGACACATCTCCAAATACTTAAACTGCATCATTTTCCACATTTTAGAGCCACAAACTAACATATACTAATACTGGAGCTTGGTCTTTAAAAACTAAAATTAGCTGCAGGTATCGCTTGTCTTGCTGTAAAAGTAACAAAACAACTACAGATAGTGAAAATGGCAGAGTAAAATCACAGAATGCTTTGACAACATTTTTGGATTTTGAGCAATATTTTATTACCTTATATGTAGTAGGTTGGTGTGGGGGAGGGGTATTAACCATTTTCTTCATTTATTCAATATGCTATGTTCTTAAATACACACACCTTGACTATGCATAGCCTTCTGTCTCTGAAAAGGCAGTGTTTACATTTAAATGCCTGAAGGGAGCTATTATACTCACCAGAACAAATACATTAGGCTGTAGTTGTTCTAGTGACTATAGTGTCCCTTTAAGCTACTCCTTGTATCAAAGCTGGTCAAGCGTAGAAAAAAATACATAAGACAAAGAAATCCCTACTTTGTCTTATTTTTTGAAGAAAACTAAAGCAGATCTGAAGAAAACAGATTCTGAGAGAGGAAGAGAAGAGAAAGCCATTGGGGAAAGGTAAGTTCAGTATGACAGTGCCGCTTTAAGTAGAACCAGCCTATTCAAGCAGGGCGATATGGGGGTTTATTGAGGGTTCATCTTGGTATGTATATTGAGTTATCTCTACGATCTATTTGATTGTCTCTGTCCTACAGATCAGATTGCAGCTCTGGGATACCGCTGGTCAGGAAAGATTCCGCAGCTTGATCCCCAGTTACATCCGTGATTCAGCAGCTGCCGTAGTTGTTTACGATATCACAAGTAGGTACCTCTGGACACACACTCTGTTGACGTTCTGTTTATTTTTTTCTTTCTTCCCCCCTCCCCTCTTCTGCTGTGCGACGATCCGCCTTTGTTAGGTCCGGTTGCAATTATGGGACACAGCAGGACAGGAGCGGTTCAGGAGTTTGATCCCTAGCTACATTCGCGACTCCACTGTGGCAGTTGTTGTTTTTGATATCACAAGTGAGTTTGGACAGGACCTTCTATTCCATTTCTTATACTGCCGTGTTGTAGCCGAATCCGCAATGCGAACCTCTTTATAACGGAATCATTGATGGACTCTGGCTACATTGTATTAAATGTAAATCCTTAGAGAGTTAAAACCACTATTTTATAGTGTTTCCGGTTTAATCGAATGCTGCCCCTCCTTAGCCTTTGTTTGTTTTTCTCCCCCATTGTGTGGCCTGCTTATCACAGGAACCGCCGCAATGATTTCTTAACACATGCATTTTCAGTGTATCCTTAACTTGTACAGCCCCCCATTCCCTGTGTAATGCTAGCTTCAAAGCATGCGTGTGGCGGCTTTGTAATTGCAAGATCTTAAACGATGTTACTAACGTGCATAGATTTCTCTTTAATTTCCAGTTTCCTATAGGATACCATCTAGTAGTTGACTTATTGAATCCAATGAATTCATGTTTTAGCTAACTGGGCCATAACGCCTTCCATCTGTGTTATTTGGCCTTGATCATGTCAGCAGTTCAGTCCCACGTAATGTCAGCGGTCTGATCCTATGTCAGACATGAGGTGTTTTGTCATTTTTTAACACCGGATGGGATTGTGTCTATCATACCCTGCTGTCCGTCTCTAGCAATGATCCGTTATAAGTGGAGAGCACTGCGCTGTGTGTGCATGTCACCTGCGCTTGCTCACTGTGATGTCTAGCTTCACGTTATGTATATGTCTCAGTTGCATGTTTGAATGTTCCGCATGCAGTGTATGTTAATTTGTGCACTCCATTGCCCTGCATTAAAGCCTAGATTGTTCCAATTTGATGAACTTGATAAATAAAGTTCTGTATCACGATTAAACTGTTGAATATTACAGGAGTGCACAGTGCAGCCGTGCCCTGCACAATCTCAAGCAGTCTTTGTAAAATTACTACCACTGCAAGGGCTTAACATAATTTTGGTTTGAAAATTTCAATATTAAGATTTCTATATTTCATTACATTGTTTTGGGCTAATTCCCATAATAGAATTGTTCATCAAAATCTGTTTCATGTGTATTTTTTTCCTTCTCTTAAAATGTCTTGTTTTAAATAGACTGTTTTATAAATATATGGAATGCTTTTGAATTTATGGTTAAAGGCAGCCAACTACCAAGTTTTGTAATTCTTTGTAGTAGAAAGGAAAAAGAGTTCAACTTATCTTGTTTCCACACATGGCTGGTCCTGTTTCTTTGGCTGAGATCTTTCGAAACTGAAGATCTCAGCCAATCCAGGCCTTTCTCATAGGAAAGTTTGGGAGACTAGTGCGCATGTGCGGCAGAATGCTGTGCCAATCATATGGTCTTTCAGAGACCATCTGATTGAAATAATATGACCACCACTAGAGGAAAGTTAACACTGCAAAGAAAACATTGTCTCAGCCAAATTGAAATGTTATCAGCTGCAGGACTAGAGGGGCATTGAAGTGGTCTGGGTGCAATGTCCCATGCCCCTTAACTCTGTAATAGTAATTATTGCAGTTTCTGAGAAACTGCAATAATTACCTTGAAGGTCTAACTGCTCTTCTAGTGGCAGTCTACCAGACAGCCACTAGATGGACTTCCGGAATTGAAACGAATCTTTGGTCCGTTATCTGACGCTGGGCGTCCTCACGCTATGCCTGTGCATTAGGTCTCCCCGCCGGCTCACGTTGGTGGGGGAGGAGCAGGGTCGGGGCTTGACCGAGCGCCGAGGGACATCAGTGCTGGATTCAGGTGAGTGACCACCTTCGGCCGCGTGAGTTTGTTTCCCTGGCACTATAGAATCCCTTTAAAACAAGGCACATGGCACCCAGACCACCTTATTGAGTGTTTTATTTAAAGGGACACTATACTCACCAAATCAACTTTAGCTTAAGTGATTTAAACATAGATAATGCTCTTACTTAGAAGTTAAATCACTTTGTTTATGCAACCCTAGTCACACCTCCCCTCCAGTGGTACAGCCTCCCTACCCACTTCCTATAGAGAGAGAGATTAATTTTCAAACCTTCTTTATTGCCCAATTCCAAATTATCTATCTCCTATTAATAGCCTGCTCGAACATTCTGTGTAAAGTTGAATTAGCAGAGCAGGAAATGTGCTGTGCTGTAAGATCTGATTTGAAAATCATTGAAACAAAATTTTTCATGCAGGTTGTGTAAATCACATTAAGGTGAGGTGTGCCTAGAGCTGCATTAGCAAAAATGATTTAACTTCAAATAGCTGAGAATTGAGCAGTGAGACTTGCAGGGTCATGATCTTTACACCAAAACTACTTTTATTAGGCTAAAGTTGTCTTTGAGCATAGAGTGTTACTCTAAGATATTTTATTTTTTTGACCATTTGATTATCATTATCAGAGTGAAGGGTCTTTAGGTGAACATGTCCTTCCTTACATGTACACGGTGACTTTTAGACTACACACTGAATATTGTCAGATTTTGACAAAGAATGTTATTGTGCTTGAATTAAACCCTTTAAAATATATATATATATATATATTTTTTTAAATTGTTCAACGATCGCATTTCCTAACAGAACAGACAGTCCAGATACTGTCAGCATAGACATTTTATCTTTTAACTGTTTAAACTACACAAAGACAAGGTCTGGAAAATGTAGTCACTTTAGAGACCGTTTGCAAACTCTGGTGAAATACTACTTCTTATCTCTCAAAGGCAGTCCAAGTTGACTTTGTCTCTTTCTTTATGAAAACCACTAGAAAATCACAATCTCATTAGAGGTGGATACTTTTAATTTGTTGTACATTCCAGAATCTTCATTTTAAATGTTGGGGTTTTTTTTGGGCGTCCCTCCCTCCCAACCTGTAGTAGGCTTCTCTTGCTTGCTCCAAAAATGCTTCTATGCATGATGGGAGTTGTATTTCTAGGACTGATGGAAAATTGTAACATGCATGTTTGTTACCTAAAGTCCATCTGTCCATGTTGTGGTGACTGGTTAATGTACCTCTATATCCAGAGCAGTAAATACAGGTTAGTTTTACCTGGATAGGGCATAATGTAATTTCTCCACTCGAGATCCCGCTTGCTATCCATGCTTCAAACCAACGGGTTTTCCTCACTGTATGTGCATGAGACACCTCAAAGTGTTCCTGGGGTGAATATGAGGGCAGGACCCCTATCATCTGCAGGATCTAATGGTGCCTGGTCTGCAATTTCAGCCTCAGCTGCTGCGAGGAGAAGATGGTTTATATATTTTTTACATTTATTTTGCCTTCTTTTGAATCAACCATATAAACAGATGTGTGGATTACACATGCGCAAAAATTTGTTTTAAAGTGGCACTGCCCATCCGTCCCCCCTGTTTAAAATAAGTTTTTCATAAAGATAGAAACTTTATCAAATGCTCATAACTGACTGTGTTGGAATTTCACTGAAATGCCAACTCCATCAAAAGATACTGTGAGAAAGTAAGGGACTTTTTTTTTTCCTCAATGCTTGGCACAAGGCAGTTCTACTGCCGTTAAGCTTTGGGATTTTCCCCCAGCCGTCACCAGTGACTGTGGTACTTAAATTAAGCTCTTTCTATGAAGGATCCTGCAGTCTTGCAGAATCCTTCATAGACCTCAATGCTGTACATGAGACCACAGCACTGACATGGGCTCCTGGCAGCTGGAGCGCTAGAAACTGGAGGGAAGCAGACAGAGAAGGATGGCTGCGCTCACAAGGGACAGGTTCGGGTCAGTAAATCCTGCCCTTCCCTTCCCCCCCCCCCAGCAGACCCGCAGTGGTGATGTCAAATTATGATGGTGACAGAGCTTCTTTAAGAAATCCATCTGAATAAAATTCCTGGTAACTATCCAACGAGTCGATTCTGAATCATATTACCTGTGGAGTCTGTAAGTGAGATCGATTTTGTTCTAGTATCGATTAACAGGAGATTTTATTCGACAGAATTTCTTAAAACAAATTTTTTTCACAAATCCTGTGTGGATGGTTGAAGTTGTTAGATCTGGCATTCTTTTTCTACTTGGATTACAGTTACTGTAATAATGGTTTGCAGGAATTACACACTACCTGTCGATGTTCCTTGAGTAGAAACATTTCAAACCACTGCCCAAGATTTGTGACTGCTACATTAAGCTGCACAGACATTTATAAACTTAATTTCCATGGAACTGAGCATCATGGGAAATGTAAGCTGTACGTCAGACACCAGTGCTCTAGGGTTCCTTTAACTTTGCCAAAGATGTGAGATCCATCCATCCTGCACACAAAACATTGAAATGTGAGACATCATTCATTGACCTGTTGTTTTTTGCTGTTCTGCCAGATGTAAACTCATTCCAACAGACCACAAAATGGATTGATGATGTCAGAACGGAGAGGGGAAGTGATGTCATAATCATGCTAGTTGGAAATAAAACAGATCTTGCTGACAAAAGGTAAGGAATGGCCTTGGGTTTATGAAATTTATGGCCATTATGAGTTTTTGCAGTGTGTATTTAAGTGAATTGTTTTACTGTTGCCAACATGGGTTCTCCCATTCATGTTCCCAAAAACTATTCAGTAGACGGCCACGCTGTTACACCAAATGCCTCATTCTCCTTCTCTTATATTCTCATACCACATCAACACCATGCATGTTCTTTTCAGTGTGAAGGCTCTGTTGCTTCACTCCGCTTACTGCTGAAGTGCTTGCTTCTGTTAAGGGACACTTTAGGGACACTTCTAGAATATGTTATAGTGCAAGTAAACTCCCTGTCATTGACCCAAGCGCAACAATTGTCAAACACCCATGATTCAAACTGTTTTTTCTCTGCCTATACAAATAGTTCAAAACACAATATGTAACATCTCCTTACAGTTTTCTTCAAGACTTACTGAGCCAGTGTCACAGTTGTGAGCATGGAAGTATTCAGCTCCATTTAATGTCAGTGGTGCTGTTTTTATACGGATAGCGGCTATCTGCCCAAAGAGAAGTTCAGTTTATCATATCTGTTCTGAACTACATGCCCCATATCCTCAACTGCCTTTGACAAACAAAGCATCAGGACTGTTTCGGCCACTTCCTGGTTTGCTGAGAGTGTGCTGCAGAATCAGTCTTGGCGACTTGCATCAAACACATGAACTTAAAGCAGGACTGTCACCGTCTGGGGCCTTTGCATTATTTGCAAAAATCCGTATGGTGACATCACTGCTTGGGGTCCGACGACTTGGAGAGGCAGGCAAAGGTGAATTCTACTTACCTGAACTTCTCCTTTGCGAGCACCGCCATCCTTTTCTGTCATAAGCAAGAGTACAGCAGTGAGCTCTAGGTAAGGATCTCTCAAGACCGCAGAGTCCTCCTTAGTCAATTTCCCTGCAGCCGTCACTGGTGATGGCTGGGGGATTAAAATGTCTTGGTGGCGGTAGCTTTGCCCAGTGTCAAGAAGTGTCAAGCGCAGGAAGAATACTGCGACAAAGTGCATCTTTTGAATAGTTTGGCATTTCAGTACGAATATTTCATCAAGATTTTATCTTTGTGACCTACAGTGTTTGGTCTTTTAATGTAAATATTGACAACCCGTTCTGTTTTTCCTTCCTTTTGTGGTAAACTTTTGACCCAATAAAAACATCCCCTTTGTGTTATTTCTGCAGGCAGGTGTCCATTGAGGAAGGGGAGAGGAAAGCAAAGGAACTGAATGTAATGTTTATTGAAACTAGTGCAAAAGCCGGTTACAATGTAAAACAGGTGAGTGATTGCATTGATCTAGTAATATTGCTCTGTTGTGCAGCTGGAACATGTTTACTACCTAAACAATGGTCTAATTCAGTGTTAGAATGTCTTGTCTTCCTGCATGCTGAATAGGATTCTAATCAGGAATTCCATCCCTCTGATAAGGTGGGAATTGTAGCCCATAACCAAGAAATCTATGCTATTGTCGGTTAGGTCCCATAACCAATTGCACTACTTCTCGCATGTAACGTGACCCCATAGTGCAGAGATGGTAACATTAGTACAGCAGATATTGGTAGATTACTTTTGTCATCATAAACAGCAAACCGTTAATATGAGATGTGTCCAGGTTATCCATCACAATCGAACAAAGAACGGCCTTACACGGTCCAGAGTGAGATAAAATATTCCATTTTTAATAGGGCACTAATGCTCTTAAAATAGGCCTTAAGGTTTGAATAGTTTCTCTCACTACTGCCCGTTTATGGATTCTGCTTGGAGGGGGGTTCGCTGTTTCCCCCCAGGATGGGGCTCCGGTTTATTTATATTGCACTTCTACCCTGAGTGCAGCATCCATTTTACACATTTTAGGCTAGCCATCAATGCTTTAGTTTGTTTGGATATGAATACCTGCGACTTTACCTCCTTTTGGTTTTAGGTAACTGTGATGTTATCCCATTTCCCTTGCTGCCCTCATTACAGTTTATTGCCTTCTTCAATATCAACATTTGTGGTTTTTGTGTTTCTCCAGCTCTTCCGACGTGTGGCGGCTGCCTTGCCAGGCATGGAAAGCTCACAGGATAAAAGCAGAGAAGACAGTATCCTTTCCAAGACTCTCTCTATTTTACTCCTATTTTGCTATTATCATTTTTGAAGACCATATAAAAAAAAATGATAATATAGAGGCCTTATAGTATATGGGACAAGATCAACACCACATAAAATATCTGTCAAACATTTTGCTGTCCATTTAAAGCCACCCTACTGCTTTCCGTTAATGTGGATCAGTCACTGGGAAATGTGAGGACCGCGAGGCCCACTTCAAGTAAATTAAAATCTAACTAGTGGAGATGGTAGCTGCCATTTACATCCAGGAATATGCTGTGGTGTGTGCATGCATCCGGCTGCTCAAACAGTAACCAGTTTTGCCAGGCATTGCTGGCAGTTTTTTTCAGTATTATGTATAGGTTAAAGAGACACTATAGTCACCAGAACAACTACAGCTTAATGGGGGGCAAGCCACCTAAATGGTGGGTTAAACATTATAGGTTATGTTTGTGTTCCTGACTCTATACTGTTTCTTTAACCCTTTCCCGACCAAGGCCGTATCGAGTACGTCCAAAAAACAAACAAAAAAAAACTCTAATGGTATTGCAGGGATGCCTCGATGTTGAGGCATCACTGAAATACCCCTCTCACTGCCTGGCTGCCAGAGAACACTGGGTGATTGCTCCCTCTAGAGCAAACACTTCCGGGTTGCTCTAAAGGGAGCCCGGCAGTGAGGCAGAGCATCGGAAGCCATCAGGCAGGCTTCTGATGCTCTGCCTGTACTGAGTGCCTCAAGGGGTCAAGGCACTCGGTAAATATGAAAAATAAAAAATGAAATTAAAAAATATGGCCCCAATAGGTGTCCACAGTGCTGCCAGCAAGGGACTGCCTGAAATGACAGGTTATAAAATAAACTAAAGTTAATAAATGTTAAAAATGTAAAATATATATGTAATTTTATTCTAACCGTATTTTGATATTAATATATATTTTTATATCAACATACACTTAGAATGAAAATATATATATATTAAAATATTACGAAATATACAAATGTCCATATGTATAATTACATAAATATAATAAAATACGAAATATACATATGTCCATATGTATAATTACATAAATAATTTCTTAAATATACACGTAGACTTCAAATATATAAATATGTGTATATATTTAAATTCTACATGCATATTTATGAAATATTTTTACATAATTAAGTAATTTTATTGATTGCAATTTGGGGGACTGGCCTGACAACCCAGACAGAAAGTCCAGAGAATTTAATTTGCTATCACTATATTTAACCCTGTAACTTTCCAAGACACCCTAAAACCTGTACATGAGGGGTACTGGTTTTTTGCTTTGTTTTTTAATTTTTTTTAAATTTTTTTTTTTTTACAATTCTTTATTTTTGTTGTGCACGCATTAACAACATGCTTGGATAGCCACGACAGCTATAGCAAGCTTATTAGCAATAAAGTATAACAATAGCATGGCATTTCGAGTAATGGCACAATTTTTAAAATGGTAAAGATAATTCGCAGAGTCTAACAAATAGAGTGGGGGGTACTGTTTTATTCAGTAGATTTTGCTGAACACAAATATTAGTGTTTCAAAATATTAAAACATATCGCAGCGATGATATTGTCAGTGAAAGTGAAGTTTTTTGCATTTTTCACACACAAACTGCACTTTGATGATATCATTGTTGTAATACGTTTTACTGTTTTGAAACACTAATATTTGAGTTCAGTGAAGTCTCCTGAGTATAACAGTACCCCCCATGCAAAGGTATTATAGTGTTTTTGAAAGTTAGAGTCAAATATAAGGCTGTTTTTTGGGGGGTTTTTTCACATAAAAATTTGCCAGATTGGTTATGTCGCCTTTGACATAACTCAGGAATGAGAATTACCCTAATGATGGCATACCATTTGCAAAAGAAGACAATCCAAGGTATTGCAAATGGGGTATGTTCAGTCTTCTTTAGTAGCCACTTAGTCAAACACTGGCCAAAATTAACATTCATAATTGTTTTTTGCATTTTTAACACCCAAACAAATATAAAGGCTAACTTTGGCCAGTGTTTGTGACTAAGTGGCTACTAAAAAAAGACTGGACATAAGGTAAATTACCTTGGCCGGTTTCAAAAATGTCCCAAATAGGACATGGGTGCATGATGACAAGCTGTAAAAATTCCAAGTTGGAAAACTGGAATGCGCACCCTCCAAATAAGGTCTTTTAGCCCCCAGAGAACCCGGCACACCTATATATGGGTGGTATCCCTGTACTCAGGAGATGTTGCTGAACAAATATTGGGGTATTCTTTGGCAGTAACTCTTAAAGTTCTCAGTACATGTATTCTTAAATTGCTATGTGTGTAAAAAAAAAAACTATTATTTTTATTTAAAATTTGGCATAGATTGGTGGTAAAATGGTTGCATGGAAAGAGTGAAAAATGTAATGTTTATTACCTTAGGTTGTCTTCTTTTAAAAAATATATACATGTAAAGAGTTATTCAGGGATTACTGACAGATATCAGTGTTACAATGTAACTTACGTTCATTTTGAAATAAAAATGGTTTGAAAATAGCCAAGTGCTACTTGTACTTATAGCCCTATAACTTTCCCCAAAAAAGCTAAGAACATGTTTACATTGGACATTTCTAAACTAATTTAGAAACTATTTAGCACGGGTGTTTTTTGCCGGTAACAGATTTTTGGGGTCAAAGTTAAAAAAGGTGTGTTTTTGGGTTGGTTTTTTTACACCATTTTTTTTTTCATCATATCTTATAACTTTTTTTTTTTTTAATTCTTTATTTTTGTAAGTGCAAAAGTAGGTACATTTGTCAAGATGGCCACATAAGATTACAGTAGTAGGCAAATAAAGACAATTCTGGTGACATATTTGTTATGCATTGCACTTTGTTTTTGTTTGAATGAGAAATTCACGATTCGACCAAAAAGATTTGACAAAGGAAATTTACCAATAAGAGAACAAAACAGGCATATCAAAGTGACGCCAGGACAGGCGTAGCTTAATAGGCAGAAACATGTCCTAGCTTTGCGCAACATCATATTATGGTGTGCATGGATATAAAGCGCATGTGGGCTCGCTATGTCCCAACGGTGTTGACCAGCTTGATATCTAATGTTTATTAACAATTAGTCAGCATGTTAAAAGTGTAGCTCATGGTTATATTGTAACGTTATAGGTTATAGGTTGTGAGCGTATGGGCGCTGTAAAAGGATTGTGCTTGTGTTATACTGTTTGGAACTAAATATATCTAAATGAGTGGGGGTGAGTGGGGCCTCTCTCGAAGCTCCTGCCAGACATGTCGAAAGGGCACTGTTCGTGCGTGATTGGGCTAAGAGCCTTATAAAGTAGGCTGGGGCGTTAGTGAGTGCAGGCTGAGGTTTTATTAAGTGCCAGCTGGGGCGTTATTGTGGATGCTACTGTATGACCACGTTCGAAAGTTTTTATGGGAAAACATGGTAGTGATTTGTGATGTAGTGTTGTCTAGAAGGTTTATGCCGTGCTTAAGGTGGTAGGTCAGGAAGTTAAGCATAAATTTTAAGCGGCCTCTGCCTAATTTAGTTGTTTAGGTACGTGTTGTAGATATGGGTGTCTATATAGGTGTGGTAAACCTGTAGTATGAGTCAGCATCAATAAACAACAACCAAAAAAAAAAAAACCCCAACAAACACCCCACTTAGAAAAATAAAAATGCGAGCAGACAGTCTCGGTTACTCTCGCTGTGGATGGGTGTTTTTGTCTGTTGGGCAGTGGGCCAGGTTGTTGCCCTGTTAAGGAAAAAAGAGGGAAAGCGTCCCGATAGTGTTTGTTCTGTTTCAGGTTGTGGGAGCCGCACATGGTCCTGTTGGGGGCTGTCGTGGCACAAAGATTGGCGCGTCAACTGCACCCCTCCCTGGTCTGCTTGTAGTTCCAGCCGGTGGGTTAGCGGTGTCCGGTGCCGTCAGTGGCAGCTGCATGTCTTCCAGTGTCCTTGTGGCCTCTTGTATGTTCCGCACCACTAGAGGGCCGCTTGCGCCCTCGATGTGTAGTGCGCGCCCTGGACCCCAGCGGTACCTGAGTTGTTTCTGCCTCAAGACGGACGTAAGCTGTCTGAGGGATCTTCTCCAGTTTAGCGTTCCGCTTGAGAGATCTGCATAAAACGACAGTCATGTCCTCAAAAGTGTAGGTGGTTAGGCCCTTGGTGGCTCCTAGAACAGCCCTCTTGTCCCTCGCGCTTTGAAATCGGAGGATTATGTCCCCTGTGGCAGCTGGTGGTGCTGTAGGTGGCCGTGGTATGCGGAAGATGTCGTCCAATATTATGGATTTGGCCACTTTCGGGGTAAAGAGCGCAGTCAGTAGCCGCCTAGCATAATGTGGGAGCTCGGCCTCGGGTACAGAGTCTGCGACCCCTCGTAGTTTTAGATTGTTTTGCCGTCGCTTGTCCTCTTGTGTGGCCAGTTGCTGGTCATGTAGTGCAGCCAGTTGTTTGAGGTCGTGTACCGTTGCTTTCAGCTCCACTATCTGGCTGGTGTGGCTGCTTGAGGTGCATTCCACAGTCCCGAGCCGCGCAGAGAGGCCTTTCAGATCCTCCCTTATCGTGGCCACTTCTGCAGAGATTTTGCTGTGATGAGAGGCCATGAGTTCCCTGATGGCCTCCATGGTCACAGGTGTGGCAGCCACTGTAGGCACTCGAGGTCTGTCTGGCTGTAGTGGAGCGTTACTCGTCATGCAGCTCCCTGCTTCTTCATCGGACGTGCCATCCGAGAAATCAGAGCAGCCTCCGTACAGGGACGCCATTGTTGCGCCGGCTGTCTCGTGGGCCTGCTTCCACATGTCCCCTATATTCATGCCCAGACGGGGCTTGTCGGGCTTTTGCTTCTTAGTTTTTCTGCCCATGTGGAGCTGGTAAGCTGTGGGGCACTCCGGGGAGTGCTTGGGTCGGGTTCTGGTTGCGTCGATTTAGCTCGATTAGAGTCAGGAGCTCAGCCGCCATGCGACCTTCCTCGTCCGTTGCTAGACTCCGCCCATCTTATAACTTTTTAATAGTAAATTATTTGATATGATAAAAATAGGATCTTTAGAAAGACCATTTAATGGCAAGAAAACTGTATATAATATGTGTGGGTAGGGTAAATAAGTAAGAGAAAAATGATTGCTAAACACAAACACCACAGAAATGTAAAAAGTTCTTAACGGTAAATAAATTGAAAAACTGTCTGGTAACTATGGGGTTAAAGTTGCTCTGTTACTACAAGATAATTTCAATATTTTATCCTCTTTACAAAAAATACTTGTATTGACTGAATTCCAGCACAATCCACATCCATCATCCTCCAAAGTAGGGTTATTGTTTGGACCTAAAACGGTATTGGGAAGGTGTTCCTTAGGATAAATGTGATATAAACAGTTTTCTCTTTTGTAGCAGGATATTGCACTAATGTAAGGCTGGGCCATACACTCAGACCAAAAGCCTTCACCCAGCATCCCATAACTCATATAGTCCTGTTATTCCAAACCAGCCTTCTTTCAATTTCAAATCTGTCTGTGCTATTCCTTAACACTTATTTACAGTGATTGACATCAAATTGGAAAAGCCTCAAGAAGCACCAGTCAATGAAGGGGGCTGCTCGTGTTAACACCATCCTCCCCTTCTACAGGACATCACTGAAGACTGCCCCAGATCCCCCTCTCCGTATTAACTCTTTAACAGCTGTGTGAATATCAGCTTGACCCTCATACATCCCTCCCTTTCATCGCCCGTCTCGCACCCCTCCATCGCTGGCTGTTTTGTGGCCCTATGAACAATCAGCTTCACAGGCTCATTAATATACACACATACGTTATACAGTGTCTTCATTATTTAAGTGGCACAGATATAGTTTAAAACTATTTTGCCTGTTTTTGTTCCATCTTAAAGCTACAGTTCACATCTGGTGGGGACCTTCCACTTGCGTCTACATGTGATTAGTACGATGATGCAAAGATGTCTCTTAATGCTATCTGTAACATTTTGGGCAGTTTGGGGAGGGGTACATTGTATGGAGCATGGTTTAATTAATGTGCTCAATAGTTTGTTTTTTTTATTGCCGATTTTGACAGATGACCACGAAGGGTCTGTAGAGATTAATATTTGGGTTTAGTAGGCACCATAAGAAACAAAAAATTAAGTTGTGGTCATACTCCTTACTGTTTTATATTGCAGCATGTTCATGTTTGCAGAGTGTGAACTGCTGCTTTAAATAGTAATCATTTTATTAACTTTTTTTTATTTTAAATAAAGTATAAATAATGCACTTTGTAATATTGCAGAGTAGAATCACTAACCAGAGTTCTTTTTCAGTGTTTGGTGAAATATTGGCGCTTTCCAATTTACACTTACTGTATGTGAGCATTACTTTGGTCACGGTTTTCCCTCCTTTAATAATTTCAGCATGGAGTCAATGAATCTTTCTGTTAGATGAGATGGTTTGCAAACCAACACACCGGCGTGGGCATGGTCTCAATCACCAGTCCGCAAAACACACTAACAACCGTTTTTAAATCGCAGCATTGTAATATATTCAGCTGTGTCTGAAAGCCAGCTCTATACATTGTTTCTGTCTGTGACCTAGATTGCAAATGATGATTAAAACAAAATCTTTCATGGTATTAAAGGAAATCCCAACCAGTTTTGCCTAAATTTCTATTCTTCATCCCAGCTACTTTCGTTAAATAAGAAATTAGCATGTTTGCCATGATCCTTGGGAGGCAATGTCACACATGTAAATAGAGTTGTACGTCACTGGACACACTCTGCCACTACATTTGGAGGAACCTCCTAGCAATCTGTCATCGAATTCATATTTGACTTTTAAATGGAATGTGTTTTAATTAATGAAACTACAAGCATGTACATCATTTTTACACTATCTGCTATATATACTGTGTGGCAAAAGGGAAGGTGTGCTAAAAAGAGGGAGGCAAGCAATTTGGTGGTGATGGACAACTATTAAGTTAACTGGGGCTATTGCACAGAATTAATCTGTTTAAGTAGATTGGAATGCTTTGACAAAAGTACGGTGCTTCAGGGGATCAATAATGCCTTCGTTTGATAATTGTACTGTTTTTATGTCGATTTGTTCCATATTTATTTTGTAGTATGTATTTTCTACAAATTGACATCATTTCTCTTCTGTAGATCGGATTTTTTTTTGGGGGGGGGCGGGGGGGGGGGGTGTAAACCTCTTCCCTATCACCACCCTCCATACATAACATTTAATGCCCATAGTCTACTTGCCCTAGAAGTCTCGATTAAGTCTAAATATTGCATGTAGTTTAAATATTGAGTTTTAAAATGATTTGCATGTGTATTTTTTTTTTTCTTTTTCTATTCTCAATTATGTTATCAATTTTAGGAAAAGAGATAACAATAAATACAGATCATATAGTTATGCATCTGTATATGTCATTACTGACAGTTGTGTGGCCTAATGTTTGCAGAATTCCTGATCTTTATCTGAAATTAGTCATAAAACAAGACTTTCTGACCCTCAAATCATTTCTGGGGACAGGGCTGTGCAGGGAAGTATGAGCCTGATGAGCTACAAACTATAACGATCTTCCCATAAGACATGCTGCTGTCAGTGTGCTCTATGCAGGAGCAAGTATATATTGGGTTAGGATGAGAGCCATTAACATAGGGGGTTGGGGGTGGGAGAGAGTATGTCAACAAACGTTTACTGTACTACATAGTAAATACCTGCTTGTTACTATTACATGAGTCTGTCATGTCTGTCCATATTAAAATTATACTGCGGTTTCAATAAAGAACTATTATGGGACAAAAGTGCTAAAACTATTTTTAGATTACTTTCCCATCCTTTTATTATAAACAAATACAATATAGAGATTTCTGTAGTCTAGTGCTAAGCAGTCTCCTTGCTGGAACCGCTCCTCCCTCTGTGAGATCACCCATCCGGATGGGTTGGGGACCCAGTGGGTGTGTGTAGCAGTCACCATGCTCGGCCAATCAAGTTCTTCTCATCGAGGATCATTGCATTTTACATCGCTTAGGAATTTGCTGGCGCTATATAAATAGTAAAATAATTGCATTGCTGACTGTGAAGGCTTTCTATTGTGGAAAGTCGTAATAAGGGAGTGCCTCTACTGGCTGTCTGACGTTCTTAGTGATAAAAGTAAACATGCACATCCTATACTAGAACGTGTCACCATACTGGGTAGCATGGTGCCTATTTAAATGGTCCAACTGTCTACAATAGCATAGTGGACTTGATCACCTGTCGCAGCCTGAAGTTTAAAATGTTTATTAGTTCTACCAACCATCTAGATTACTGATTGTGAGCACTTTAGATGCTGCGTCCAAACTGCATGAATTATTTTAGTTCAATAATTATAAATATGTATCTATCACAATATCACACAGTGATCGACAGTAGTACAGCTTGACATACATTGCTCTTCTCAAACTATTTAGATTAGATATGGGGTTACCAATTAAATTTTCCTGTGGAACCCTTAGACATAGTGTATCAACGTTGTGGAACCTGGGGGGGGTGACGTCTCTTATATGTCAAGTTGTGTATATCCGTGCTTGTATTTGCCTGTGTGTGTGTATGTGTATATCTGACACACAGATACACACACCTTTACAGACAGTGTGTCAAAGTGTGTATCTGACACACATAAACACACACAGATAGTGGCACACACTGATAGATTCACACACCTTGACACACTGTATCGGTGTGTATCTGACACACATCTTGACTCACAAATACACGCACTGACACACTCAAATACATACATACTGACACATACAATGTCACTGACAAACACATGTACTCTTTTAGACATACAAACACATAAAAACTGCCTAACAGACACACAATTTTTATTTATTTTTTAATTTTTCATCCACCCAGCCCTCCCCACCACCACCTTTATGAGTGCAGGCATGGGGTCCAGTGGGGCTGCTGACGTGCGGGCGGCGAGGGAGCAGTGATCTCCCTGCTCAGCTACCTCGCGTGCCTCGGAGTAATGTCATATTCCGGCTTCAGCATCATTACTGTGCACGCGAGGGAGCTGAGCAGGGAGATCACTGCTCCCTCGCCACCCGCGGCCATTTCACTTTTTAAACTTTTGTCGGAACCCCAATTGGTGTGGGTTCCACGGAACACCAAATGGGAAACGCTGGATTAGAAGAACAAAATTGTAGTATTATTCCACAGTGACCTCCTGTCCAAGAAATCCACAGCCCTGCTGTAATTCATGTGTGAAAATATTACTGCAACAAATATTGGAATGATGCATGGAGGGTGTTGGCACCCTATCTGAATTAATTTGTGAATTTTGTTTTTAATACAACATGGTGTTATTAGTTTAATTTTATATAATGGGTTAATAGACTTTCCCAATAACACATAGGTGCAAAAGCATATGGAAACGAAATTACATAAATGAAAATCACCTGTAATGTGTGTTCACCTTTTCTTCTGTGGTGGTGTGTTTTTTTTGTTTGTTTTTTTAATACATTGGGGATTTGGTGAGTGACCTAATCTGATGCAGTCCAGGCACAGCCAGGATGTGCAATGCAAATGAGGAAGAAAACAATGTCATGAGCGCACCCTACTTAGAGTGTGCGTGACGTAGTTGTGGTGGTTCACTATATGCACTAGACCGGAAATAATGATTAAAACCCACTTAACACCACTCACACTTAACCATAATAATATAAATATTACTATTTTAAGGCTGCCACCACCACCCCGACAATTTATAAATGGGGTTCCTTGGTCCCCCAGGTAACTTAAAAATAAAATCCCACCAAATACAACTTAGCACAGTATCTATGTAATTTTAAAAAAAACTCTAATTAGTCTCTTCAGGTAACGTGATTCTTTACCAGACAAAGGCAGAACTTAATAAAGGAATATTTATTATGAGGAAAAAAGTAAGTGCCTACAAAAATATAGATGACAATCAAATTAATTACACCACCAACGGATAAAAACAAAAGGGATAAAATAACAGAAGTCCTAATCACTTACTCAGCTTTTCAAAGTAAAACTTCTGCTGTGGGGGTCTCTAGTAAGGTAGATGGTGACTCACTCTGAATTAGACTGGCCCCTAAGCAAGTACAAACACATTTCAGAATCATTAGATATATACCCTGTAGGTTACCAAGCCTTGGCTAGAGGTGGAGATAAAGCGGACCTAAAGAACAATAAGTGACCACCCCTTTGTGCTCCAGACCAGCATTAATCCAAATGGAAACATTTAGTTCTATCTCCTCTTATGTGCTTACCACAGAAATAAGAATAGCATCTATGAATTTACAATTTTCCTGTTCCATAGATATGTCACACTCCTTACTTGTGACTCAATATAGCTGATATCACAATTCCTTCCAATGTGGGTAAGTCAAATCATGTTTAGGCTAGATTAGAAGATTGTGCTTGTCCCATTCTAAATATAATAAAAATGAGGCTTTTAAAGGTCCACTATAGACACCCAGACTACTTCAGCTCAATGAAGTAGTCTGGGTGCCAGGTCCCTCTAGTTTTAACCCTGCAGCTGAAAACATCAGTTTCAGAGAAAATCACAGTGAGAAGACGCTGACGTCCATAGGAAAGCATTGAGTAATGCTTTCCTATGGGCGGTTTGAATGCGCGGCTTTTGCCACGCATGCGCATTCTTCGCTGATGTCGGCAGAAGGGGGATGAGTTCCCCAGCGCCAAGGGAGCCTGGCGCTGGAGAAAGGTAAGTTGCCGAAGGGGTTTTAACCCCTTCAGCCCAGCGGGAGGGGGGCTCTAAGGACTACATAGTGCCAGGAAAATTAGTTTGTTTTCCTGGCACTGTAGTGCTCCTTTAATTATTATTCTGTGGGTAAGTAAGAAACTAAATATTAAACAGAGAAAAAAGAGGAAACCGCGCCCGTATTGTGATACATAAATACGTACTCAAGTCCTTATGGCCATACACTTGCAATGATGTACCTCAAAAAGAAAAAAAGAGATATACAAATAATAGTGTAGCACTGTTAGTATTCCGTAAGTGAACAAGAAGTAGATAGATGTACACTCACATGTGACAGAGCTAGAAACAGAGCTTTACTGTTCATGCGCATAGACGGAACAATCCCCGTCTTAGGATAAATGTAAAGTGGTCCACGTCTTGAAGGTCTCAAATAAAGAACATACAGATAGACAGGGGAATCCACATAGTGTAATATGTATTAAAATCACTTAAGATAATGAATAAGATGTAAAGTATCGTACTCACATTTGCTACAGGTGAAACGCGTAAAGTGGATTTTTTATGGACTTTCTCATTGAGTGTTTCTCATTTGTTTTTATTACTTTTTATGTATAATAAACAGTTATTATTTTATATATATTTTTATCACTCTGAGACATCCATTACTATATACATTTGATGTAGAATTATTAAAATCTTTATTAGAACCTGTATTGAATTATTGTACTAACTCCATTTTAATCTCACACTATGACAGAATTCTCCATTTTTGTTCACCTTACATGACAGAATTTCCTGACAGTATTCAGTATAATGAATAAGAGATTGTATTTTCTCTCTCTAAGGACATAACTAGCCCCGGAGTTAGCGGATCTCCGTTGACTTGCAACATAGTATAATCCAAGGCCAGGAGAACAGCGACTAAATGAAATGTTCTATTCATAAAAGAACCTTGGAACAGACCACGAGACTGACATCACTAACTACGTAAAATGATGCCCAAGCCCCCCCTTTCCACCGAGTAAGCCTCGTGCTAAAGAGCAATGGCGACGACATCCCATGATGGGAGGGTGCCTCACTAGTCACTCAAATCTCTGAGCCAATTAATAATATTAATGGGTGGACACTGACATAGCCACTTAACATTTAACCCAATTAATGATGTTTATTTGTTATTATCTGATATTCAATGATGATGTCATTTTGCATATAAAAAGGCCTGCGTGCCCGCTTTTTAACTAGATGCTAATAAATTTCCTGAAGTGTTTTTAACCTGAACTGCATGAGTCAGTGTGAACTTACTTCTGCGTATACGCAATTTATTCATCTCAGATTTGGACAGGAACAGATAGACTTAAACATTTTTGTTTATTTCTAAATTAATCTACATCACATTTTTTTTCCTGGTTACCATTTTATTCCTTGGTGGGGATTATACCACCTATACGCTATAAACTAGAGCGAGGCACGCTCTAGCAAATGTGAGTACGATACTTTACATCTTATTCATTATCTTAAGTGATTTTAATACATATTACACTATGTGGATTCCCCTGTCTATCTGTATGTTCTTTATTTGAGACCTTCAAGACGTGGACCACTTTACATTTATCCTAAGACGGGGATTGTTCCGTCTATGCGCATGAACAGTAGAGCTCTGTTTCTAGCTCTGTCACATGTGAGTGTACATCTATCTACTTCTTGTTCACTTACGGAATACTAACAGTGCTACACTATTATTTGTATATCTCTTTTTTTCTTTTTGAGGTACATCATTGCAAGTGTATGGCCATAAGGACTTGAGTACGTATTTACGTATCACAATACGGGCGCGGTTTCCTCTTTTTTCTCTGTTTACTATTGTTTTGTCACAAGGTGTGTTTACTGCTGCCCACTCCCTATTTTTTCCATCACTATAGTGAGCGCCTAAATTATCTTTATTTTTCTAAGAAACTAAATATGTTTCTTTTGGATATGACACTGGAACACAAGGCTAGTGATCATTAACATATCAACGAGATTAACTTATCAATTAAGAGGTAGAGGCCATATGGCTGAAGTCAGCTAGTTTACATCGGAACTAGACATCCAGGCATCTCACATCCTGTAGAGCCTTTGATTAATCAAAGGATCAATCCATTTTGAAAACCATCTGCCCCCCTTCACATTCCTATACCATTTACATTATCCCTTCTGTCATCTGATCTCTACCAAGTGGGCAACTCATATATGCACTACACAAATTACAATAAATGGCAATATTCTATTGTGCAACAATAAATTATGATGTGATGTTCCGCCCCTCCCCCACACAAGAGTTTCCTCTTTGTTTAGTGGCAGAAAAGGGCAATATTATAATGATGATAGACCGAGAGCCAAGATAGAGGCACCCAGTTCCAGGATTGAGATAAATACAGTGGTATGGACTTTTTAAAATTAAAAACAAATTAATTTTTTTTTTTTTTTAGCCTCACAAACTTAAAAATTGATACTGTTTTGCCCAAGTAAATGTAATATTAAAAATACTGGTAAGTGCCTGTTTCCCTTTAATGTACATGCTGATAATGTTGGTCTCTAATGTCGAAATAGATTGAGAATGTTTTAATGCTAAGTGAGTCCCCAGCCGTCCATCCAATCTGTGCTGCTGGGATAAATGGTGTTAGCTGACCGTTTCACAGCCCCCATCGCTGGTATGAATAGGTACTACTATAAGGAAGTGTGTAATCTCTGTTTTAGCCACACCTCCAGTGTAGGCTGGACTATGGGAAATCAGGGACCCGTATGTAGTGTTAAACTGCTTGAAAATTGTTTAACATTGATGGGAAGGACCGTGCCAGGAGGCTCCAGACATTATAACAAATTCAATTGAATACAATTGTATGCTACAGCTGGCCGTCAGTGTCCCTTAAAGTGTGAATAATGCAGAACACATACCGCAAAATTTCCCATAGAATTGGCGCAAAATGTACACATTGAAAGGGTCCAAAAATTAATCATGGTCCTTAAAGGAGACCTTAACTCTTTCATCAAGTACTGAAAGAAAATAAATATTTTTCCAACTATATGTTATAAAACAAAAAAAAAAAAACTCAATACCTACCTTGGGTCAGACAGTGTTTAAAGTTGGCAGTTCGTTGGTCTGATGTGCTGGGAGTGAAGCTGGGAAGACCATAGAGACTCTCTGACCCAAGGTGTATGTATATGACTGGAGGATCCAAGGTAGGGCAAAATATGTTTCTCTCTCTTTTTAAAACATTTTTTAAATTAAATCTACACTTGCTTTATTAACAAAGAATTTATTTACTTTTAAAACTTGATGAAAGGATTATTATATTAAAAAAAAAAAAATAGTGTTAAGGTGACAGTCGTCCTTTTAACCTCTGTGCCAAGACTCTGAAGTGACTGCACTTGATATTTAAAGAGACTCATCTCTCCAAACACATAATGCACTGTAGCTTCTTGAAGTGCTTTATGTCTGAAGTGTGTTTTCTTTACATCGTACAAAAAGAACAGACTTCCATAGAAATGGCTACTTACAAAATTAACTTAGTTACACCCCCCCTGACTTTCAAGCCGGTCTTTTCAACCGGTCCTGTTACTTCCTGGTTTGTTTAGCTCACTTGAGGCAGCAATTGCCCAGAGCACCTGCCTTGCAAAGACTTTGCATTGAGCTGCATTGGGAAGTTTGTGATTGGACAGCAACGGAAAGTCTGGGTGGGGTTAGAAAGGGAGGGCTTTCAAAGGCTGTAGACAAGAGATCTGTAGCTATTGCAAGCTAGTATTAGCTACACCCCCATTAAAAGGCATAATTTAAATACATGCAAGCTTTTTATTGGGGGTGTATGTACTAATTAAAGTCTTGTATCCCCCACACTTTGTTCCTTCAAGAGGGCTCCCACTGCTAGAAAGAGGCACATTGTTCATTAGTAGTTCCCGTAACTAATTATCCAGTTGAAGAATGAGTCATCAAGAAGTTTTGGGGGCCTTTTTTCTTTCACTGTTGCTTACTTGGTGTTACACACACTGGGATTACCTTAACCTACCTTTTCAGATTATAGCACAGTGTATTGAACTTTTTGGGGTTTATATATATATATATTTTTTATTTTTTATTTTTATTTTTTACTTTTTTTCCCGTTTATCCTTTTTTTTGCTTATATCAGATGCATGCTTCGCATATTTTATTTACTTAATGTGTATTCCAGGTTAATTGTGGAGCTTCCCATTGTGGAGCTTCCCAATGAGAATTTGCATACATTTAATTATGTATTATTTCATGGAGGGTATATCTAAGAACAGCTTGCATACGCTGAGATCGCTTCATTTAGTTGCATTGGGAAGTCTGTGATTGGACAGCCATAGAAAGTCTGGGCCCTCCCATTCTAACCCCGCCCACACTTTCTATGGCTGTCCAATCACAGACTTCCCAATGCAACTAAATGAAAAGTCCTTACAAGGCCGGTGCTCCAAGCAATGGCTGCATCTTGAGTTTAGTTCCACTAAGCTAAACACCAAGAAAGTAACAGGACCAGATGTCTGCTTGACAGCCAGTGGGATGTAGCTAGGTTAATTTATAAAAGTTTTAATTTCTATTAAAATCAGCTCTTTTGCTAACTGAAAAAATAGGACACACTCTTCCCACATCTTATCAGTAAGCGTAAATGCTTCATGGGTCTAAAGTGTCACTTTAATGATCTATTTTCACCTTGATGACATCAAGTTTCTTAAGCGAAAATTCCGGCAGACATAGGGAAGACCAACCGACCCTTGGGATTCCTGAAGTCTGCTGATACAAATATGGGGGGGACTCACTCCGTCTCTTCGCCAATACATGCAAACAGCGCTGGTATTTGAATCTTCCACTGACCACCATGGAGGCCCTAGATGACATGGGAGGCCTCTCTCCAGCCTTCATAAGTAGACCTGATGCCTGGCTCTGCTTACTTGGACTGCCCAGCCTTATTGCGAGCTCTCCCAACTAAGGAGGACCTGGCGGGGTGAATGGAGCACTGCAGGCCCCATTTGGATGTTGATGGAGGATCTATTTACAAACAAACCCACAACCTAGTCTTTAGCGTTAGTTGTGTGGTAAACGTACGTATCTTTTGCAATTCTGTTATATACAGCATTCTCCAAGGGATATCCCAGCAAATGTTCTCTTATAAAACAGACACAGTATAAAATTCAAGTGGAATACAGCTGATTGTATTAGCAAAAGAATTATAACAACAATAGCGTAATACAGTTAAAATAAGTAAACCTTGCACAACTAAAAATGTCCTCACAAAGTAAGTGGTGGTTTAATTGCCTCTGGGGGCTATCCAAGGACCTCCCTCTTATTATTTTTTTTTAAATTCTTTATTTTATTGAGGCTTTTGAGTTATACACAACATAAAATAGCATTAGGAGCTATTGGCACATGAACAATAAATGCAATCAAGTAAAATAGGCTCCAAGGAAACATCAAGTAGATAACAATGCCTGTGTGATACATGAAAAGATGAGAACATAGGACATTCTTATGCACTAAAATTGAGAATTAACAAAATTATTGATAACCAAGCTGGGTGTTCATGTCTGTTAGGCAGACTATGCATTCAATAAGACTTAGAGAAAAGGCAAGACATGGTAAGGGTTTGGTAGGGAGCATCATGCTAGTTTGTTTGTTGGGTGAGCTCTAAGGCCAAGTAAAATCTGGGCCCCAATTAGCCAGATGGCTTGTAAGATACAGCTACAGGTAAGGTAGCGTGAAGCATAAGACTATGTGATCTGCCCAGTAGTGCAATGTGACCAATAGGTCCATATGTAGACCAAGGGAAAATACTCAGGACAGAGATTAAGATAACACTAGGGTGGTGGTCCTGCGTGATTTGAGACCATGGGGTAAGTATGTAACCCAGAGGAACCGGGGTAAACTTTGTGTTGCTAAGGGGGAGGCCTCCCTTGAACCCCAACTCCCATTG